CCCCCGGGGCCAGCAGCGACAAACTCATGGACCCCCCCCCCCCACCGAAATGGGCGAGACAGAAGAAGCGGGTTCTTAAAGAGACAGAGGCCAATTTCAAGGCGTTTAGAAGAGGAAGTGATGAAAACACAAGTTTATTTTCTATTTAAACATAAAAACAGCATTTTAATAACAGCTAAAGGTGACATAGATATTTTATGATGGTATACTATTTAAATGTATGCATGAGAAACACATAATATTGGCCCTTTAACAATCAGCATTGAGCCTTTAACAGTTTCTCTGAGTCTGACATGACATGGTGTCAAATTAACCAAATGAACATTTGTCAATGACTGCAGATTGGTTCCTACTTCGGCAGCGTCCTGCAGACTGTTGACATCGATAGAGATTCCCTCACGGACCTCCTTCTTGTTGGAGCTCCGATGTACATGGGCTCAGAAAGAGACGAGCAGGGACAAGTCTACGTCTACAAACTGAAACGGGTACTCAGCCCTTAAAATAAAAAGATGCTACGTCAGTTTTCTTCAGAATTTCTCAATAAAAAACGATATGGATGGCAGAATCATTGAGTATTGTGTCTCACAATCTTGATATTTCTCGGTTTTATTACCATTAGGGCCAGTTTGAGCATGAGTTTACCTTGAAGCCTGTCAACCAGACGTGTTGTGTTGCCCAGTCGGCTGGCTGCTCCGTTAAAAACGAGCCGTGCGGAGCTCGGTTTGGTACTGCCATAGCAGCAGTGTCTGATCTCAACCTTGATGGGTACAACGACGTTGTGATAGGTGCGCCATTTGAGAATGACCACAGAGGAGCTGTTTACATCTACCACGGAGACAAGAAATCCCTGAAAAAGCAGTTTGTACAGGTAGGAATCAAGAAGCCTTTGTACCAAAACATATTTCATTGTTCAGTTAGAGGAACATGATCCCAGCTTCCTTCCAATCGTAAAAGATCCCTAACTTTCTATGCTTTGTCGCCCGGTGTCTCCCCAGCACATTCCTGCAGGTGGAGATGGTGAAAAGATGAAATTCTTTGGTCAGTCCATCCACGGGGTGATGGATCTGAATGGAGACGGCATTACTGACGTTACCATAGGAGGCCTTGGAGGGGCTTCCCTGTTCTGGTGAGTGGGCTGATCATCACTGACAGCAGAAGCATTTACTCCTTATATCTTGCATTCCAGCAGAGCTTGTTTCCTGGAGCCATCAGCTTGCATGTCTGCTTTGCATTATCTTACACTGGTTTAGACAGCTGTGCATGTCCCACTGGACTTATAGGGCTGTAGGCGAAAAGCTTCCTAATGGTCTCCGTGTTGAAACCTCCGCCTACATACAGTATTTCACTATTTTGCTCCAGAATGCTGAATCAACCCACAATCTTCTGAAACATCAGCCCACACAATGATTTAACTTCCCAGGCAGGTCTCCTCCCACAGCCTATATTGGCAGGAGCTCAACAAGGCCGTGTGAAAACTGCATTTCCCATGTGGCTCAGAACCTCTATACGATTTGGCAGCAGGCGGCTGCTCTTAATAGACTCTGATTGAGAAAGCTTAAAAGTAGAATGGACAGCTGTGAAACCAAGCTTCATGCTCAACAGAACATTCACTTCTCTCTAAAAATGTAGAAATGTGTGCATGGAATGACTTGACGCATATACAGCAAGGTTAAGTCAGGCCCTTTGTACAGGCTCTTCTTGGCTGAAATGTTTCATCCTTTATCAGAACTAAGTCTGAGTTGCAGGCAAACCAAGCATTGGCGGATCTAGGATTTTTCTGAATAAGGGGCCATCAAGGGGCTACAATATTCATAGAGGGTCCAAGTATTTATTCAGCATCCTTGCACACAAATTGCTGGTTTTGTTATGGTGTATATATTTTACCAGTCACACATTTAAACACTTGTAATGTAATTTTAAAACAGCTTTCACTGTAAATTTTCCTTACCAATTTCACATGCATTTTACAGTATATAGATAAAATACTCTCAAACACACAACATTTGAGATAATCCAGCCAATATTTGTGAGTTAAAATACTTTTTCTACAGGATTTTTCAAATTTTAAGAAAAGAAAAATTCTTCTGTCAGCTTGATTCATGCTGGACTTTTCTATTTGGTTCATTAGCGCCTCTAGTGTTTATACATGGAACTGCACCCAGTGTCATCACTTGGGCAAAGGACAGATGCGTGACAGGACAGGGGCACTTCAGGGGGCCAATCAAATTTCAGCAGGAGTCAATGCCCCTATGGCCCCACCCCTAGAACAGCCCCTGAAACCAAGCCTTAGTTTAAGGAGTTTACCTGCAACTCCTTAAACTTTTGGCTAAAAAATGAAATGTTTCAATAAAGAAGAACCCATCCATTGGACCTGACTCATCCTTGTAATACCTGGTTCACATGGCAAGATTTTAGAATTGTCAACCCATTTTCAACAAATGAGAGACCCCACACATGACGATAAAAAATCATACATATAACATGTTTGGTCCTACAGTGTATGGTGTACAGCCACATGGCAAAAGACAACACACTACATACAAACAGATTTCACTCACAAACATTCAGATGCCAGACTGGAAATCTCAGGAAACCTCCGGAGATCAAACAAGAATACAGAGTAAATAAACACAACAGAGGAGGAAGAAGCAACTGTGATAGTTTGTGGACTATTTTTGACAGAGAAAAAAACAAACAAAAAATAAAAAAAAAAACAAAAAGAAGTCTCCAATATCCACCTGACTTGTTTTCGTCATCTTGCTTTCTGATTGGCTACACGTTCAACAGGTTGCAAGCTCGTTTGTCCTCAGGAAACACAACAAACACTGGAATATCAGACCAAGACAACATGTTGAATATCCCTGATTTGAGATTGTAGTGGTCCTGACATCCTTCTGAGCTGATTTAAGATTGTTGAAAGGCAAAATTGGGCCAAACATTGGGCTAATTATTTTGCCATGTGAACCCGGCACAAGATAATGACTTTATGCACAATTGTTCAATGCAGCGATTCTCAATTTTGACAGGGATCCAAAGCAGCAAAGAAATTAAATGTTAAGCAGTCCTCGAAGGTATGCATATCCTGCATCACTTTGCATACCAAAGTTTTAAACAAAGACCTTGCGCAATCTATCAGCTCTCAGAGTACATGTTGGGGATGACTCTGGGCTACAATTGCATGAAAATTTTAGCTCAGTATCTGTAAAACAGACCAAGTTATTGCTGTTTAGTTTTTTTTAATCCACTTAGTAGTTTGTGAGATTTTTTTATTCACTCTATAAAAAAATGTAAAGTGAAAATGTAGAAATTTGTAATTTTTTCATACAGAAAATTGTATTTTGCCTTTATTTCAACAGGACCAGAGATGTTGCAGAGCTGCATGCTAACATGACTTTTAACCCTGTTAAAATAAACCTGCAGCAGTCTCAGTACCCATGTAATGGATCTGCGTGTGTGAACATCACAGTTTGTTATCGCTACCTTGTAAAATCTGACAAGAAGGATCCAAACTCTCCTGCAGGTGAGCAAGACAGCTTTGCTTCTCACTTGTGTCAATGTCCCTGCCATCAACTTGCTTCCCTTATTTATTTATTTGTTTTTGATCACTTCCTTGTTGCTGTTTTTAAGACAACACAATTTTCTGTTTCTTTCAGAAGTTCGTTATACAATTACTTTGGATGCTCTGCGAACAAAATCCAGGGCCTTCTTTGTTGAACAGGGGACAGAGAAAAGTGAGCGCAAGATTACTAAAATCATCACCATCAAAGACAATGAGAAGAAATGCCTGATGGAAAAATTTAAGATGTTGGCAAGTACTCTGATTTTTGCAATGCTGTGATTTCTTACCTGTGTTCTTTAGAAATATTGTATGCCGATAATAGCTTAGATTTCTCCGCAAATTTTATCCAAAGCTGTGAGAGGTGTTCTGCAGACCTTGGTTCTAACATAAAACAGACCCATCCTGATCAAAGCATCCATAGTTGAGCCTCGTGCTCCTCAGAGCGATCATTTATTTGAACTGAAGACACATGGAGGGATGGAGAAGGAACGTGAATGAGCTGTGAAAATGGGCTCAGTGTTTTATGTTTTAGCAACAAAGTGACACTCCAGGTTAAAGCAGTTTTTTTGCGTATTGTGTTACCATTAAATCATGAACTAAAGTTTAGAAGTCCACAATAGTTTTATTATTTTTTCAACCAGCCATTCACTGTGATAAAGGCTTTTATTGGTCAGCTGTTCTCAAGCAGCAGAAAGAGGAACTAATCAGTGCAAACAGCTGCTGTTCTTCTTCACGTTGACCATGAATACTTTCTCTGTTCTGGTCTGCAAGTTTGCACAGAAATATCTGTCAGAGGTTTTCAAGGGTCATGGAATTTATCCCAGACACAAAGCCCTGGTTTTATTCTTTAATGAATCTTGATTCACTGTTTTAGATGCTTGCAAAGTGCCAGTTTGGTAAAAGCACATCTTTTAGAAGTATACAAGAAAAACATGCGGAGCACACACAGAAAGGCCCCAGTTTGCCAACATCTTCAAGCCAAGAGATCAATCATTTATAGTTACCAGTTGTTACTGCTGGATTACTGTGGCTGCTGCATCACCTCCTCTCTTCTCTGAGTCCAACTTGAAAATGTCTGAAGCCAAATGAGTGGTTTAATTACAAATGATAAATCCTCACTCTCTTCACTAAAACAGATTTATAGATTCAGATTTTCAGAACTGACTATTTTTTTCTTCTTCAGCAAAAAAAAAAAATAAAACCAACCTTTCAATGCATTGCGTTGGACCCAACCAGCTAGACTTTATCCTCAGGTTTTTTTTTTATCAATAATCAGCTACTTTTTAATAAAGAACGCAGGATTTTACTTTTAGAAAAGCAAATATGGCCACAGAGTTTGTTTCCTTTTCAGCAGGTAACGGCCCACTGCTGTGTTTGCTGCCCCCCCACACACACATACTCACAACTTAAAAAATAAAAACATCATCTCTACATCTGTGAACCGGACTGATACATAAATTTGTGTGGACGTTCATGGTTCCCAGAGGACGACTCCTGATTATCTGACCTTCGCTCTCCCGCCAGGATGATGTTTTTGTTTAGGTTGGGGTGGTTCACCTGTAAAGTTTGGACTTTACAATAAGTTGAAACTCTAAACTAAAAGAAGACAGGGTTAGTGTTTGTTCTCAAAATACTAATTAAATCTTTATGTTTCAGATCCTAGACATTGAGAAGATTTCTCTAAGATTTGAGCCATTGTTGCCTCATTTCTTCAGAATCACGGTCCATTGGGTTATTAACTGTTGAACACAAAAGGTCACGATGAAACTTTCAACAGTCAGAACATTTTAAAGGCAGTTTTGTTTGAAAAAATAAGCCACACAACTGAGACACATGTTTCTATAGTTTGCTTACATTCTCTTTCTCTTTTTGTCCCACTTTTCTTCTTCTATATGTCCTCGTCCTCATTTTGCTCCCTCAGCCACGGCCCGACTTCAGGGATCCTCTCTTGGTGTCTTTGGAGTTTGGACTAGTCAAAGAGGACCAAGGTCCTGTCCTGGATGAAAATCTTCCCAGATCCATCAATAAGACAGTAAGACTGCTCTCTGTTATCAAGTACCTTCCACAAAATCTGAAATCAGTTCACTGGAAGGTGAAAATCTGATGACTTATTGTGATACTTAATTCACAAGTTGGTGTGATTTACTGAAGTAATGACATTTTTGTTGTTTTGTTTAAAATATACACACTAAAAATGTTATGCACCCAGAGGGAATGGTCCAATTTCAATGTGATTTGGATCACATGCAGACCAGTGATGGGTGTGTAAATGATTCCCAAGGCCCAGCCAATCAGGTCATTTCTGGAGTGTCCAAAAGCCAATCAAAACAATAAGTGAAGGTCAGCTGAAACAGACGATGCCTTGTAGACTCTTCAGATAGCTTTACCAACACTTGACAGAGCTTTTTATGGCTCATTTGAGAACAGGTGATAGGTCATATCTGTGGTTATTATTTGGTTAGGTTCACATTGCAGGCAAAAGTGACCAAATTCATATTTTTTAACCCGTATGAACAAGTCTTGAATGTCTGAAAATTTATACCAACATATGATACTAATGGTATACCAGTGTGTTGGGTCGTACCAGTACTAACATCATGGGATCAATACTTGAGTTTGTTTTACTTTAAGTACATCGCTCACATTCGAGAAATGCAGTTTTGCACCTAAGTAGACGTGAAGTGGCAAAATGGAATGTGACCGTTGGATGAATCTGATTGCACAACTTCAGATTCGATTCACACAAGGTGGCATGCAGCGTCCATATTTACTCCTGTAAACATGGTGTGTGGAGTGTGATGTCACGTCTTCTTCAGGGATGTTTACGCTGTTGTCTGATGGAGGTTACATTTACGTTTTAATGTGAATGAAAAACAAAACAGAACCCAGTCTGACAGAAAACAATAACACATACAACAAACCTAGCTGATACTAGCACACAGAAAAAAAATCTAAAACACTGACTCAGCTTTAAAAAAAATTTAGTGTAACTTTAACATAATCATATTTGGTCAATGCTAAAATATGAAGTGTGGCAGATTACTTCAAATTTTAAATGTTGAGTCAGTGTTATTTTTTTTTCAATGCAATCTGTAAAATGATAGAAAAATCTTTTACTGACAGTTTAAATCTCAAAAACTTATTTTGTTTGGCTGCAGCTCAGCCATGGATTCACGTTCTCATTAATCATGCATCAAACTCTCTCAGGTTGTTCAGTTGAAGCATTGCTGAAGTAATACAACAGCCAACCTTAACCTGCAGGTTAGAGAACTACTTTAAATAAACTTTTAGTGATTTTAATAATTATTAGAACAAATTTCTTTAAATTCCCACAGGACCCCAGTGAGTTGTAAAAACAACACACGGGGGAAAGTATTCTTGGAAATCAAATTACATTTAAAACGATTGCTGTCATTTTGTAGAAACAAGTATTATAGGTAATAAAAACAGTAATCATTAATTATGAAAAGGTTTGATGGTTGTTGACTGTTTTGATTATATCCTCATTTTGTCAAATTTTCTGTTAAACTGTTCTCGATTATTACCGGTATGTCTTCAGGTTTACAACAGTCTGAGTTTTTCTGGGTGTTCATTTTGTGTTATTTTGTGGGTCTGATGCTGGCAAGTATAAGTTCCTTTGAAAGTACAGTTGTGATGATTTGAGTTTCATCTTAAACATCCTGCATTTGTCTATTTGTGCAAACGTGTCATAAGAGGGCAGTTTTTGCTGCTGTTACAGTGCGTTAGTATTTGCAGCAGCTGACTGCCGTCCTTCAGTTGTTCTTCATCTCTGCATCAGTGTTTTAACAACCAGGACAATCTTCCCACAGTCGTATTTGCTCTAACTAGAAGGTTTTCAGATAATTGTAGCAGTGAGTGATGTTTCCAGGCTTCATTAGAATGTCATTATAGCCTGTGTTTATGTGAAAAAACACATTGATAACTACACTGTGTATGCTGTGTATGCTGTGTGCATTTAAAAGCCTACAGCAGGAACGTATACAAGCTAGAGGAGCACATTTAGGAATTTTCCTGTTATTGTTACTGAAACGAAGAAACAGAAAGCTCACAGAGAGGGGAAGTCATAAACGGAAGCTCTTTTTTGACGTCGTGCTGCAAACTATGATCTAGTGTCTTGAGGGGGCAACACTGGAGCCTCAACGTGGGACAGGATTGAGAGATCAAACCTCATAAAATGTTTACAACCTCTTTGATTTAAACAACTAAAAAAACTTTGCCTAAAAAGTTTGAATGTAATTGACAACTAATGATAATTTAATCGCATTAGTAGGCACACATAACGATGAAAAATCAAATTAGCAAAACAAAGTCAATAAACTAACTCAGTGACATGTAAAAGTCATTAAACTATATTGGACAAATTGTCAGTGTTCCACTTCTGTCATAAAAAATAAACATCTTTTCCTATAAAAGATAAAGAACAAGATATTTGGAAGTGGGCTTCTGTAGAAAAAAATATGATATAATATTTAATGCTCTTTGAATGACCTCAGTTTGGAGAAACAAGAGTTTAATTCTAAAAGATTGTCGAGCTAACTTATAGTCTGAGTGAGGCCGAGACCCAAGTTGAATGCTGATGCCTTAAAACAACAGTCTTCAAAATTGTACAATTGTTCATATCAAAACTAGTTTCAAAATCATTACATCATCACTGATATTTCAACACGTGTGTGTTTACTAAGGGTGCACCCTAAAAAATTTCGATTCACATAAGAATTGCGATTCTCCTATTCAACTATTCTGAATCGATATAAAATGTCCCCAAATTGATTCTAAAAATTAAAACAAATCCACTAGCTGTTTGCCTCCATTGTGCACCTACCACAGTTGGAAAAGGCATTTTCCTTAGAAATCTTTAGAGTATCCTTAGTATTACAATTTTTTTCATAAATAAAGTGACTCTTTTTTTACTTAAGCAATATGTGATATTGTTTTTTGCAATAGCTGCAACAATTCCACCTAAACATGGCTTAATGTGAAAAAGACACTTTAATGTCTCCATTTGTCCTTCTGTCTTGCAAAGCAGACTGGAGTAGATCATAATTCTTTGCACACCTTTAGATTAAAGCAGAAATCATCATGAATCAAATCCATTTTGAATCTAATTGTTGTTTCAGAATCAGAATCAAATCAAATCGTGTGACAATTTTCACTCCTAGTTTTTACATGGCACCTAACCTTCTGCTAATTTTAGTTTAACAAATCTTTATTTACACAAATACCATTTTATGTTGTAATTTTTGGTACAAAAAAGTTTGAAAATCTAAGTAAAAATCTAATCTCAAAACCATGTTACATCAGACAAATGAAGCAGATTTAATCTTGAAACGTTTTTCATCTCGAACACAGCCCACACATCTGATCCACTTTGCAGCTCATTCTGAGTTTATCTGGGCTGGTATCAGTTCCTGTCGTGGTTTGCAGGAGGTCCGGACCCAGAAGTCACACTGACACGACACGGCTGGAGGGGAGATGAGATCCAGCTGAGCTAAATGAGATGGGGGTGCAGGTGTAGGTGGGTGCGGCAAGACAAACACAGGGGAACTGATAAAATGAAAACACAAGTCACTTAACTATCTGTAGGAATCACAAAATATAAATGATCCTAATCATAAAGCACAAAGAAACTACTAATAAACTAACAAAAAATGCACATCTTAATAGTTCCAAGTTCTATGTTGAATCTAGACTGGCTTTCAGATGATATTATATGTCAAGAACACGTCTTACAGCATACATGGCAACCCTTTCTGACGTTTACCCATAATCTTGACCCTCAAAAATGTTTATTTTTTGCAAAAAAGTCCATATTACTCACTCTTGATACAACGGTGGGTGTGGAGGGGACAAGCGGACTGTTGGAGAAAGACAGACCGTGGGGCAGAGGAGAACGTGCAGGATGGTGGGAAATTTGTGTAATTTATGGACAATCCGTGCAGCTTGACATGTATTTTAAGGCGATTGTAAAACATTTCAATACGAACAACGTCACAAACACTTTTTATCAGTGTAGGCATCCTGATGCAATGATGTCACAAGAAAGTTCAGCCTCTCCAGTTTGTGTTGTAAATAGATATAATGTAAATGTTTGTAGATGCTGCCGAACTCCCAAGGTTTTATCCACCAAACTGACCTTTGAGAAAGCATTTACTCTTGAGGGTTTTTTTATTTTAAGTTTAAATACAAACCATTGACTTTTCCCAACATGTTTGACAATATTAAACGTTTTAACGTTAAATTAATGCTCTTGAACTTTTCTGACACACAGATTCCTTTGATGGACTGCGGAGGTGACGGAAAGTGCGTCAGTGAACTCTCGCTCACCGCAGAGCCGAGCGTGAAAAGGTAAATTAGCTTTAAGTTGTACTTTTTTGTGTGTGTTTTTAAGTAAACTGTAAAGCAACTTTAATGTGCCAATTTAATGTGTGTTCTGAAAGGGGTGCTGTAATTGTAACAGCAAATCGGCTGTTTGCTAATGAGTTGAAGATAAAACTACATGAAGCTTTACCAGCATAATTCAGGGATTGTCATCTTTTTTTCATATAAAGTTCCTTCATTTTATTTGAGTAAAATGGGATGGTTGACGTTAATAAACCCAATTCAGTCATCAGTTTGTTTTAAAATTGGGTTCTTTTGAGTCAGCATGGAGAAAATGAGCATGCAGATCAAACTTTTTGTTTAAAAACAAATTTATTTATTGTATTTTACTGATTGTGTTGATTCTAAAAGCATTTACAGCATAAAAAAGTTGTTTGAGCTCCCCTCGTCTCTGCAGAGCACGGCTGCACCCTTGTGGGCAGACGTGCACATCACAGCCAAGCTGACAGCTTGCATTTTTGCTTCCACAGCATGCTGATTAAAGTCAACGCACGAGACAAGATCGACGTGAACATCCGAGTCAGGAACAGCAGAGACAGCGCCTACAACACCAAAGTGAACATCAGCTTCACACCAAACATCAACTATGTTAAAGTAGAGGTGGGATTTCTGCTTCCCTTCTGTTCTGATTTCATTTTAGCAAACACAGCGACTTAAATGAAGATGTTTTAATTTGCACCATCAGCCAGAGAAAGATTGCACTCTGAATAACACAAAAGTGGAGTGTGCTGTTGGATATCCCTTCCTGGGACAAAATGCAGAGGTGAGTTTAAATCTGAACAATAAATTCACTGCACTTTATAAGTCGATCGTTGCTTTAACGTCATCGTGTTCCAACAGGAGATTTTCAAAGTCAGGTTTGAGACAAACCCTAAACACATACAGGGAGAAATCCAAGTCAATCTGACAGCTACAAGGTGAGTTAGTGTGTGTGTGTGTGTGTGTGTGTGTGGGGGGTCTTCATGTGTGTTAAAGTCTTATTTCATGTTCGGGTGTTAATAGATAATTTCACTTTGTTTTTCACATTTATGTCATTTTTCCACAGTGACAGTGAAGAGTTGTCATCTTCTGACAATGATGTCAAAATCTCCATCCCTGTGAAGTACGAGCCTGGAGTCATATTCAGAGTGTGAGTACCCTGGATATTCACAATTTTAGATAGGCAATGATTACTTTTTTTTTTTTTTTTTTGTAAATTATTAACTATGGTCAACAAAAGCAGATTTAAGTATTTGTTTAATCTCAATTTGGGACATTTCAGAATCTGTTACATCTTTTTTCCATTGTCACATTTTGTTTCTTTTTTCTTTATTGTGGTCAGAGTACACTTGATATCATTTAAATGCCCTGAGGGGAAAAAAATCTTTTATTTTATATAATAATCCTGTTACCCCACAAGTGTACATTATCTTTCCTAAGAGCATCGACTCCCTTGAATCTCTTATGTTGTCACAGAGAAATGTATGCAAATTTCTTACATGGTAAGAATTGTTTCAATAGTTTAAAATTTATACTCTAGCCTCAAACAGCCCCTGTTTCAATGTTATGTTTTGCGAGCCTGAAATGCAGGATTGGGGTTTTTATTAACAAATGAAATATTGGTGATGCACATCACATGCCAATAACACATGTTGTAATCATCTATGGTGTTCATTTCACTATAAGAAAGAACAGTTCACAGCATTTCATTGCTACATTTCTAACACAAATCAAAAAGAAATTGCTCATTTGGTTAAGACTTGAGTGTTTAGAGCTGCTGCCTCACAGCAGGAAGTTTGCAAATTTCAACCCAATTTACATGTCCCCCCTTTGTATGAGTGGGTTTTCTACCACAGACCAAAACAGGCATGTTAGGTTATTTGGTAACTCTAACTTGTCATGTGTCAGTGAGATGGACTGACGATCAGCTGTTGGCCTGCACTGACTGTGGCCCCTGGAGCAATTTAGTTGAATAGCCCCGCCCCATGAAATACCACCTTAAGGATAATAGATGTTTAATATGTAAATGAATGACGTCTTCATTTTATGATTCCTCCAGGAATCCTGTGGATGCTCACATTATAGTTAAAGATGGTGACCAGTATGCTTTGAAACACAATGACAGCAAACTGACTTGGGAGGAAGTCAACGTCAATTATACGGTAACAACAGCACACAGCTATCTTCAGCGATGATTTGTTGATATAGATAAACAATTTATTCTAATGCAGACCTGGGGTAAAGGCAGAAAAAGACAGTTCCACACTTCTCTGTTTCTCATGCCCTCAGGTGGAGATGTCAGGCGATGTGATGACTCCGCCCCTTAACCTCACAGTGTCGTTTCCTCGGCTGTCGCCTCTGAAGAACAAGCTACTCGACTTGACCAAATTCACCGCCAGCCCAGGGGTATGAACACACACACACACACACACACACGCACACACACACACACACACACACACACACACACACACACACACATGTACACTCACCTAAACAAAGCGTTTCACTCATGCCTGCTCCTCACTGCCCTGCAGGTTAATTGTGCCAAAGGACATTTGGATGAAAGCAACCCTTCTGTTAAAGCGCTCAAACCGAAAAAGGAAACACTTAGTGTGTTTTTGCTGGTCAGTGATGAACTTTTTGTTCCAAAGAATGCTGGAGTTTGTGTCTTTGTGTCTCAATGAATCATTTTCTCTGCAGCAATGTGAACAAGCGGAATGTGCGCTCTTTGATTGTTTCATCCCTGAAACCAAAATGAGTCAGGTCAACATTACTTTCAGGGTGTGGAAACCTACATTTATGGAGGTAAGTGTCAAATACATAATAGGACTGTTTTTGGCCTGATTGGATTTGAGATAAACTCTATTAGGGAGATTAACTCTATAAATGAGTGATGGGCTTTGGCGGCCTGCATGTCATATATGGCCTGTGGGTGACTTTTGTCTGGTCTAAGAGCTGCTTTCAGAGAGCTTTTGTTAAATAAAAAGAAAAGTAAAAAAAAATGTTTTAGGGAGGTAGACTATTCACAGAATTTCAAAGCTGTTTAATCTGGCCAGAAAGATTTAATTTTATTTTTTTGCTTCAAACATTTTGTTTTCATCTTTATTAAACAAGAGTACAACTGTGCATGCATTTAAACATGAAATATGATGTTACTGCACTGTATGCTGGTTTTAAAAAACATATATATACATAAACATGGTAAAAATGGTAGTTTTATTACATTTGGGTAAGTGTACAGAGCTATGTGACCCTCTAGTATAAAAATGTGTCCCTTTCCATCATTTAAGTTGCCCATCCCTGCTGTAGATCACTAACAGCTGCCCCCTGATGGACTGACACAATACTGAACATCTAACATTTTATCTGACAGGGTGAGTTTTCCAGTTTGTACATGACGGTAAACGGCACACTGAGGCTTAGCAATGAAAAACTCTACGAGCTAAGCAGCAATGACAAGCACAGAAGTGTAAGTTAAACTTATACATATTCTACCGTCATTATTGATCACAAATTCACTTCAGAATGTATCAGTTCCTAAGTGGAGACATAAGTGAACATGAGGATTATTTGTGATTGCCAGGTGAGAATCCCAGTTTCAAAAGACACAGTGGAAGGAATCCCCATTTGGATCATCATCCTCAGCATCCTGATAGGACTGCTGATCTTAGCACTTGTCATCTTTCTCCTGTGGAAGGTAAAATTTGCTTTCTCATATTTCTAACTTTAAAATCTAAAGAAGATGTCAGCTTGGCTCAGTGGTTAGCACTGATTAGTCACAGCAAGAAGGTCCCCGGTTCGATCCCCAGTTTGGACCTGCTCTTTCTGGTTGAAGTTTGCCTTTTGCTTACTTGGGTTTTCTCCAAGTACTCTTGTTTCCTCCCACAGACCAAAAACATGTGTTAGGTTGCCTTCAGGCCCAGGCCTCACTTACAAAAGAAATCTAGTATCTCAATGGATTTTCCTGGTTAAATGAAGTTTAATAAAACAACATATTTTAAAATACTGATGCTCATCTTTTTTTCACAATGCCATCTTTATTAGCACATTTTAGGTAGGTATCAAAAACAGAAAAAAATTGGTTAGTTTAGCAACTATGGTTTAGATGATCAACTATGAATTCATTCATCAGTTCGATTTAGATACTGTATATCAGACCAGAAATTCAGCACATACTGTTGTGTGGGCTTTTTTTATTTCATTATAATCAAGGACTCAAAAGTTCACAGCGGCAGAAAATCTATTGTAACATAAGATTATTAGAAAAGCTTTCACACTGCCCAACAAACTGGATCTATTTTTCTACGATTACAGCTTCTGAGATTAGCAATATCACTTATCACTAGTGCAACACAAGGTTAGACTCTCAAACAGACAGTATCTTCATGTTTAAACTTGTTTTCATAATATTGGGGAAGATTTAGAAATTTGGACTTTGGAATGCATTGGATGGCAGCCTTCTGCTCATGCAGGGAAAATGAATAATAACAATGCAGAGTATGAATTTCCCTGATGGGAATTACCAACACAGCTGACAAACGTAATTTACTGGATGCACAGGTGGTGGTTAAATAAGCAGCGAATTTAGTGAGAAGGAAAAAAAATTACTATTAATTTCCAAATGTGACAAAGCTAACTAAAGTTTTAAAAAGTCTAGCTGAGAGTGGCGTCAATTATCTAAATTCTTTTACTAGTATTTTTAATCAAATGTTAAGCTATCCATCTAATACAAGGTGTCAAATTTAGTAACACAAGATGGTCAAAACTGAAAACTTGGTCTCACACAAGGGTCAATTTCTGTCAATATTTATTTAAATGGGTTAGCCCTAACTCTAACAACTTATTATTATAAAAACACAAATTTACTTTTTTTAATTATGCATTTAGAACATACATAAACAAACGGTTTACAGAAATACAGAAAGACATCTTTAGCTTTAATATACATATTATGCCTTTCTCTGTATCAACAACTTTTTTGATTTATCATTTCTTAGAGATACATTTCATCACAATCCAACAAATTAGTGAAAAAAATTAACCCTCACTAAAAATCCATGTATGTGACTTAAAGTTAGTTCTCTGTTGACCTTTCCACACCAAGATCAACGATTATTGAAAAACTAAAACTTAATTTTCTTAGCTATCAGGAGAAGAACACACTAAATCCAGTGACAAAAAAAAGAAACTATAAAACGATTTTACATTTGATGTATTACCTTTGGAACCGGATAAAATGTGAATGAGGGCCAGATTTGGCCCATGGGCCTTGAGTTTGACACATGCAGCAATTACTTCTTTATATTTGACCAGAACTGGTTATCTTAAGATGAAACTGTGGTTAACTGGACTGTGTTTGATTAGATTTGAATTGGGCTTCTTCATTTCAATCGGACTGAAATAAAATCAGTCGGAATAAAATAAAAATCAACTGAAATGAATTGAGATGAATAAACTGGAGTTGAATGGAACTGAATCAAACTGGATTGTGAAGACTCAGTCAATTGAAAATCAAACATTTTCTCTTCCTCTAGTTGGGCTTCTTCAAGCGGAAATCTCGAGAAGACTATTCAAAGGAGGACATGGCGGACTGAGAAAAACCAGATGGAAGAAACGCCATCCAATCACCTCAGCGCTCTGACACACTGTCTGCAAGAAGAAGAAAAAACTTCTCACTGTTTTTATAGTTCAGCAAATCCACGAATGATTAGAAACTGTTTCTCTTGTCTTCTTTTGTTGAGTTTCTTTCGACAGCAGCTTATAACTCTGAGGCCAGTCTGATGGTCCCATCTAGAGCCAAAGATTTGTTCTTTTTTAGTTGTGTTTTAATTTTATTTTTTTTACAAGCCAATCATTGACAAAGTAGCATGTTTTGATTGAGCTTGACTCAGTCAATAGAGAATAAAATACTCAGGTTTTTCACTTTGAGAATCCAAAGTTGCCTAAACCCACATTTAATGTAAAACAGCCAAATTACTTTAATTGAAGCAGTCGGTCTTATAGCTTTGTGTTAGCTTGTTGCCTTTTTTTTATTTTTTTGAACACACTGTATCTTTGAGCATTTTGAAGCATTTTGTTGCATATTTTTGACAATACAATGCAGCACTTTTTGTGTGTGTGATAGATAATTGTAGTTAGTGCCGTCTTGCTTACTGAGAGACACAGAACCCCTTTACGTTTCCCACCATGCCATTTGTTTGTTTGTACTGTAAATAGAAAGTGATGATAGGTGTAAAGCTTTAAAATGTACAGAGTTGTGTTTGCTTTTAATTTAATGTTTCCGTGCTCGTCAAGATGTTTTCGCTCAGGTGCTACGAGTAAACGTGACAGGTATATTTGACACAAATAAAGAAAAAAAAACTGGGTTCGGTCCCAGTTTCACAGCTTGTGCAAATGTAAATATTATATTTTGATTAAAAATGAAATTGTAGCTGTTCTGTCTTAAAGCATACACAAAGATTAAGATTTATATCAGTTGTTTGGATTTTATTTTGAATGAAATGTGTATTTCAAACCTGTGGCATAATGTGATTGGAATGATGTGGATTAGGATGACTTTTTCTTTTATTTTTCTTTTATTTCTTTATTTACTAAATGAGACGGAGAGGCCCCCCACTTTAGGTCTACATTTCCATCCATTTCTTAATTTTTTTCCTGAGACAACATGAACCATACGCTTTTTGCTTCCTTTAGGCTCAGTGTCACCCCCTAACTGGTACATGCAGTACTCCATTTCTTCAGATAACATTTTTATTTCCACTGGTTGCACAGATAAACAGTATGTAAAGATTCGGAAGAAAATGTTTTCCCTCTGTCTCTTTTCCTTTTATCAATTTGGTTTATTAGAAATGTATAAGGCAAGGAGAAGAAATGTCCTTTTATTAGATTCTTTCTCTGCAGTTCCCTTCTTTCGTAGTGAAAGCACATGTAATAATTTGTATGTACAGAATGTGTAAGCATTAGTTGTTTTTTTTTCAGAGCGTATGGCCACATCTGATTTCAACACGAGGGTGGAGTGAAAGGCACAAAGTGGCAGTTGTGAGCTCCAGGCCAGCGTTCTACACTGCTGTGAAGTTTCATTGTAATGCACTGGTTTTTCAACCTGTTTTTGTCCTCATCAGCACAGAAATAAACTGAACATTATGTAAAAAATAAAGACATTTTACAAAAAAAATTGTTGGTCATTTAAAAATAATAAAAATCTTTTGTTAATATGAAATAAAACTTGGGAAAACTCAAAAGTCTTGCAAAAGTCAAGCCAAGAACATTGCTTGTTAGGTTACAACTCATCTTTAGCCATGAATAAAAGAATGAATGAGTGGAAAAAGCCATAATAAAGCTCAGAAGTAAATTTTTATGACAAAAATAAATAGACATTTTATTCAAGGATGTTGAGAAACATAAAAATATAAATTACCCATCATATATTTTCCTCACTTATTTCATTTGTCACGCTAAAAACATTGTCAAACTTTTAAAAGTTAGATAATATTTAATGAGATGCCAGTATATTTCAACATCATATTATGTTATTTATTTATAACAGGAATTTATTGGTAATAATTTGGTGGATTATGTTAAAAGTTATAAAATTTGTCAATTGACAATTTTTATTCATTGCGGAAAATTTACTTAATTTGAACTTGAAACAACATTAGAAATAGTGTGCTCTTACATTTTTTCGATATTGCAATTTATCGATGCAAATCTAAGAATATTATAATTTCCTTGTATGTATGGAAGAGGATTAGAGCCACTGAAAAAATAAAAGAAGAATTCGGACTATTAAATTTTGAGATAAAAGTCAGAATTTATTTATTTATTTATTTATTTATTTATTTATTTATTTTCAGTGGCCCTAACCTTGTTCTTATGGCGGATTTACGGAATCCTGTAAGTCCAAACTCAGGGCATATTTTCCAGGTTTAGCCGAGCGGTTTATCAAAGTGCGCCCTCTAGTGTTCGTCATCCGCTGTTTTTGGCCAGAAGTGACACCGTGGGACGGGAAGCAGATCGAACTGTAAGCTGAGGATCCATCTTGCTTCAAAAAGAGACGAGGCTGAGGGATTCTCCAGTTTAGAGTCACAAAAAAACAGTATAATTCCTCGCTGAGCTCACTGGAGAGCCCGAAGAGGGACGGTGTCGCTGTTTGTAGGATGTCCCGACATGAGGGTGAGTTGAGTAGGAAGCCAAAGCGACCGGAATGCTGACTACTTCACCTGATCGGCTAGCTCCGCGGCTAGCTCTGCTAAGTGCTTGTTTGAGTGGTTGTTGCGCTTTTCGCGGCGGGTTTTCAGACTCTTCTCTTTATGTTTATATTCGCTGTCAGCAGCTTTGGCGTTCTTGTGTGTGTCATGCTTTGTAATTAAAACGTGGTGATTGCAGACTTGCTCAGTCTGTTCATGATGATACGGCAGCAGAGCGGAGCTTAGCAGTTAGCCGCTGCTACGTTAACTTATGTTAGCCTGGTTAGTTAGCAGGCTAACTAATGCTAATAAGAAGCCGTCTAAGAAGCTATAAGTTAACGACGGATATTAGCACCTATTAAATAATTAGCTGTAAATATTGATACACCTTAAAAGTGTTAAAGCCTTTCCTTATTTGTGGGCTAACATTTTTATTTCAGAGCAGTGAACTTAGTACCAAAATGTCTCATGTTGTCACAGACTTTGTTAAAACAGAAGTGAGGCCTCTCATGACCATAAATCAGTCACTAACTTTGTGTGGAGCCAGGTAACTTAACTATTATAGGGTTACGTCATAGTTTGTTTGATTAAAGCATATCATTTTAGTTTGTTTTGTTTATTACGTTTGAATCACTAGGTGTACTTTAATACAAACGTGACCACAGCAGCCCTAAAGGACAGAGGTCAAATCTGAACAAAAACACTTGGCAGCCTGTTTTCCTCTCCTGTGAAGCCAGTTGTTGAGAAGACACTTTCATTGTCTATAAGTATATTGTATGCTGACCTAAAGGATGTGTACAGTGGTGTTTGACAAACATATTTTCCCTTTCTGTTAATGTATAAACTTGTTTTTGAACAACAGAAACTGTAGTCCAAAAAATACAACTGACAACTAAAGGATTTGACTCTGAATTGTGATTCTGAATTGAAGAAATAGTCAGGATGTTTTTATTTTTTGTTATAACACGTTACCATTTGCATGAAGTCCCATTATTTGTTTACATTTTTTAAATTATCATTATTATTTTTTGTTGCCAAATACAGCTTTTTCTTTTTTTTCATTTATTTATTTATTTTTATTTATTTATTTATTTTTACTTGGCGATGTCAGAGTCATGCCTCAGGGAAAAAAAAAACAGTACTTGAACGGTAGTAGAGCTTTACTTGGCTCCAGTTAAAAAAAGTTATTTTTTTTTCCTCTCACGATGAATCTGTTGTCTGTAACTAGCTCCTGTGAATGTGTGTACTGTTTTATAAATGAGTAACAAGGGTGGTAATGAAAACAGCTCTCAGATGTTTGAGTCACGTCTAGGAGTTGCTTGTGAAATCAACTGCAATGCCAGGGACCTTCATCGCTGGCATTTGGCAGTTGGTTCAACTCCAGAAACATGCTTGTGTAAGTGGGGCTGGTACTCAGATGAAGAGTGCCTTCTTCCAGTCTGTCTCATGAGCACAGTTGTAAGGAATTTGTAACTTAATTGTCAGGAGTTTGATGCAGCTGCCTTTTTGTTCCCTTTTTTTTTTTTTTTGCAGGTGTGAGTTGTGATGCATGTTTAAAAGGCAACTTTAGAGGACGACGGTTTAAGTGTTTGATTTGCTACGACTACGACCTGTGTGCATCGTGCTACGAGAGCGGAGCCACGACGACACGACACACAACAGAGCACCCCATGCAGTGTATATTAACCAGAGTAGATTACGGTAAGCTGCCAGGTGGAGGCATTGACCCAAACTTATGTGGGTTCGTGTTCAGATGCAGATTTCTCATCCAGATCGTGTTGCCTGATTACCTGTCAAAAATCACTCTGAACTCATCATCACAAATCTTTTACTGATTACTAATAACAAGCTGCTGTTTCAATATTATCCTGCAGACTTGTATTATGGAGGGGACACTTTTTCAGTAGAACAACCCCAGTCGTTCACATGTCCTTACTGTGGCAAAATGGGCTTCACAGAGACGTCCCTACAGGAGCATGTCACCTCTGAGCATTCAGAGACTTCCACTGAAGTGGTGAGTACACTACTCCTTTTTAAAATGATTTTAGCAGCTGTAGCGCTGCAGCTATCCTCTGCCTACCACTGATGGGTTATTTTCAGATCATCAGGTAGAAGGAAACTGTTTTTTAATTTATTTTTAACTTTCACTTTTCTATTTTTTGCCGAGTACTTCAGTCGTCTGAAATTACTTCCCATACTGTACTCTATTGTGGGGATGTCTTGAGACACTCGGTCATGAAGTACATTTTGTTCGCAGGGAAAACTCGTAGTTTTTTTTAAGTGCCCATGAGCGATATTTCTGTAGGTGTTCTGAATGGATCTGAAAAATACATATTTTAGATATTTCATCTTCAGAGTATTTTATTGTATTTGTTTGTAAGATCTACTTCAAATTGTACATTCAACGCGTTGCTACGAGCAGCCTGTTGTATTAGCTCTTAATTTGTTTCCATTTGGTTAGGATTATCTACAATACATGTCACAGACTAACTGTTTTATTGTAGTGTTTTCATACAAGTTAAGTGATCTTCAAAGATTAATTAGTTGTGTTTATAAAGCATTAAGTCCTTAAAATAATAAGATCAAATTAAAGGAGTACCAGTCCCAAAATGAACTGCAGTATATTCTGCAGATGAGCTGGATACAGAAGTCATGGACTTAAACTAAAAAAAAGTGCAGACAATTCTTAAACTACCAAAACTTTATTTATTTGTAGTCAGAGTTAGAAAATTGGTTTCTTCTTAATGAGGGCTAAAAACTACATGAATTACTTAAGTTTTGCATTTTTTACCTCTACATTATGAGTTTAAATCATTTCCCTCCTACTATTAATGAGCAGGTACTTTAGCTCTCTAAATGTTTCACTTGTTTTGGTACGTCCCGCTCAGGAAGACCACTGATGTGTCTGCAACTCGCTCTCATTTCAGATCTGCCCAATCTGCGCTGCTTTGCCAGGAGGCGATCCCAACCACGTCACAGATGATTTTACAGCTCACCTCACTCTTGAACACAGAGCGCCGAGAGATTTAATATCCTTTTTGCCGCATCATATCACTGTCAGAAACTAAATATTCATCGTGTACTTAATAAAGTGTAAAGGTTATTTATAAACTGACTGAATTTCAACCTTAACAGTTTGTGTTTACGATGAGTCCAGTAGTGTCCGACACGTACGCAGGATGTTCCACCCTGGACGGGGACTGGGCGGCCCCAGAGCACGACGGACAAATATGCACTTTACTAGCGGCTCCACGGGGGGGCTTTCATCCTCCTCATCACAGAGCTCCACTTATACCCCCAGTAACAGAGAGACAATGGACCCGATCGCAGGTGAGAGTCAGCGATATACAAGTACTAATGCTCAGTACAGAAACGATTATAACCAAGACTGAAATATCATCAAAATAAACATATTTTTGTCCATCTAGTTTTCTCAAGTTGTCCATCACTCATATAGGAGAGGGCGGGACTGAGTCACTGTAACTTCTAAATCATTTCCAAATAAAATGAAGAAAAGACAGGCTAAAACGTTTGATTGTCAACAGAAATGCCGTCTTTTGACTGAGTGCTAACGTTTCATTAAAGTTTAGCACACGTAATACCTTGTAAGAACAGCCTAATGGGTCTCTTTTTGATCGTTCAGCTGCTGTCTGCCAGCTTTTTGGCCTATAGCACTTAGTACATCACCTTGTTAAGACAAATATCTTATGTGTGTCCAACTATGTAACCCTTAGTATCCTTTTTTGAAAATAAATGAGAACAATTTGTGTTTTTGTGACAAATTACTAAAAACAAAAATGTCTGTGCTTAGAATAATTTAGAACAAATACATATATTTATTAAACTGGTAAATGGACTGAACTTACATAGTGATTTATCAAGCCCCATGGGGTCCCCAAAGTGCTTTACACTGCAGTCATTCACCCATTCACGCACACAGTCACACACTGATGGTAAGCTACATTGTAGCCACAGCTGCCCTGGGGCACACTGACAGAGGCGGGGCTGCCATGCACCGGTGCCACCGGACCCTCTGACCACCATCAGTAGGCATGGTGGGTGAAGTGTCTTGCCCAAGGACACGACTGAGACAGCTGGAACAGTTGATTGAACCGGCAACCCTCTGGTTGCAGGACAACTCCCCTAACCAGTTCACCACAGCCGCCCCATATATATAAATATATTAAAACATTTTTAAAAATTACGTTGTACAAGAGACAAGGTTGTAAATGCATTAAAAAAGTCAATAATTAAGGAAAAATCTTGAAATAAATAACTTTAAAGCCTGGAGAACCAGATCCACTTCTTAAGGATAATAGAAAACTAGAGTGGTTAAAACATACAGTATTGCATTTTTAAAAATACATTACTCTTATAAAATATGTATTCTTACTATTTAAACCACAATGTATATAAAAAAGGTGTAGTATTACTTTTTGCTAGAGATGAAACAAACATGTTCACTGAATTTATTGTGTGTCTTACAAAAAGCGTTTTAATATGAAGACTAATCTTGTTTAGTAGTTTATTTTGTAGTTGCAGTTATAATATAACTAAATGTACTTGAACATTTACACCCTTATTATCACAATGGAAAGTAGTAATCAGTAACTGGTGGGTTATTCCTAATACTGTATGTTAATAATGTAATGTTTTCCTCCATAATTAAAGAGCAACAGTTTTTCATTTAATAAATATGTAACTATGTTTTTTTATATTTTTCCCCCCTGATGCACAGTTAATTAAACATTGAGCCTGTTTTCATGTCTCCTACAGAGTTGTTGTCTCAGCTGTCAGGTGTGCGGCGCGCTGCAGGGGGGCAGATAAACTCGTCTGGGCCTTCGGCCTCCCAGCTCCAGCAGCTCCAGATGCAGCTGCAGTTGGAGCGGCAGCAGGCTCAGGCGGCGCGGCAGCAAGTAGAGGCGGGTCGCCACGCAACGCGACGCAGCAACAATCCAAGCAACACTGGCACCACAATCCCTCCTCCTAGCACAGCAACTGCCAACACCAACACTGTGGGCGAAAGCAATCCCTCCTCCTCGTCCCACAGCTCCCAGTTCCTATTAGCACGGTGAGTGAGACCGGTCAGTCAATACATGCAGTGAAGTGGAGCGACTTTTCTAGTTCAGTTAGGCCATTTAATTAGACTATTCTTGTCTCAGAATACAAACAGGGGAGAAAGGTGAGTTATTGACCAAAATATGTCAGACTCTTAGTTTTGAACAAGTTTAAAGGAATCCACGATTAGTTGTATCATTAGACTTTATTTAATAAACATTTATTTTAACTGTAAAATAAAGACTGTAAAAATACTGTAGGCTGTTTAGTTTTGTAAATTTTTAAAAAATATATTTTAACATGGACGGAGCCATTTTATTTACACACAAAGCATTCTGGGTAAATGATGATGTGGATAGGTCCTCGGTGTGAGCGAGCTATATCCACCCAGAAGGTTAATCTTGGACAATATCTGATGATCGACTCTTTTAAATGAAACCAGAGWKSACAGAGAGGAGAAGGTAGAAATGACTCAGCCTGTAACTGAAAATATAGATGGAGGACAACAGAGCTGCTTCATGGAAGAAGAACCCCAGCTTAGCCTGTTAGCCTTTGTGCTAGCGCTGACGCTATATTGTCTTATACGTATTAGCTCAGCGGTAGTGTGACAAACAAGCTAAACTGAGGTCCTCCGTCCATATTTTCAGTTGCAGGCTGTCATTTTTGCGTTCCCCTCTCTGTCATGTGGATGGAGGACCTCAGTGATGAGGAGAATGTGTAGCGCTGAGCTAATACATATATATGGTGATAGCATCAGGGCTTATGCTAAAGCTAACAGGCTAAGCTGAGGTTCTTCTTCCATGAAGCAGCTCTGTTGTCCTCCATCTATATTTTCAGTTACAGGCTGAGTCATTTCTACCTTCTCCTCTCTGTCAACGCTCTCTGTTTTCATTTAAAAGAGTCGATCATCAGATATTGTCCAAGATTAACCTTCAGGGTGGATATAGCTCACTCACACCGAGGACCTATCCACGTCGTCATTTACCCAGAATGCTTTGCGTGTAAATAAAAAGGCCCTGACCGTGTAATATATTTTTAAACTTTTAGTTTAAAAATTATAAAAACTAAACAGCCTACAGTATTTTTACAGTCTTTATTTTACAGTTAAAATATATGTTTATTAAATAAAGTCTAATCAGGGATCCCTTTAAGGTAGTATCTCACTGGGCTGTGACTAGGTTTGGCTTTTTTCACAATTTACTGAATTGGCGGGAGGGGGGTATGCTCTGTGGTGTGTTGAGTAATTAATAACGGAGAAATGGCTGTAAATAAGTATTTGCTTACATAAAGCTTGACATTCTAGAGCCAGAAAGAGCAGCGAAGTTGTTAATGGACAAATGTGACTTTTTGAAGCATTGCGGACCACAATAGCTACAGTTCCTGTTTAATGGGTTACTCGCCAGGACATGTTGCATAGATAAGACTACACGAATCATTTGCAAGGACAGTAACTTTTTTTTTCACACAAGTTCAACTATACAGCAACTGTAGCAAGCTGCAACGTAACAACAAACTACCATTCACTAGGGCTATGCGATACAGCTGAAAAATGCATCACGATATAAGCGTTTCGTATCAGTCTATAAATAATTATTGATTTGTTTTTTGTTTTACCTATTTGAAATAAGGACCAGGAGAAAAAAGACTGATGGTGATATGACTTTTTCTCCTTTATCCACAACTTCCTCTCCAGCTGTGCGATTCATTTTCTCATTTTTTTCACTCCACGTATGAGGCACAGGGGTGAAACTGCTGCTGCACGTTACTCAACAGGTTATTGTTGTTAGCTTACCAAAGAGTGAGTTTGATGCCACCATCCTTGCTTAACTGGGCTTTAGCCACTTCAGTACCTGTTGATGTTTGTAGTAACTTGTATTTTTCCCCTCCACAAGTTTCATAAACTTTGTGCGCTCTGAATGAATGTTAAAGGTCACATCTGCAAATAAATATTCATGTCTGAGAACTGGATCTGTTTCCTGAGGATAATTCAGGCTTTCAAAATGAAAAACGTTCTAATTAACGTGAGTTGTGTTTCAGGTTGAATGAACCTAAGATGTCTGAAGCAGAGCGCCAGTTTTTCGAAGGGGAGCGCGCCGACCGCAGCTTGTTCGTCCAGGAGCTGCTGCTGTCTACGCTAATGCACGAAGAGAGCTCCTCTTCAGACGAAGACGAGCGCCGAGACTTCGCCGACTTCGGAGCCATGGGCTGCGTGGATATCATGCCTTTAGACGTGGCGCTAGAGAACCTCCAGCTTAGAGAGAGCAGCTCTTCGGGGAGGGAGCCTCCGCCGCCTCCTCTTTGATGTCCGAGCATCGAGCAGACTGTGTCCTCTGTGCTGCAACTGTCAGTGATGGACAGCCGCAGTCCCCGCCCCCTCCTGCCCCAGCCCCGCCCTCCTTTTCACCCTCCTCTAATTTTCTCAGTTTGTTCTGGTGATTGTAATTTCAGGCCCGTCACCATATTTGTTACATTGTAAACAAAACCTAAAGAGAGAGCAAGCGGGATAAAGTGTCGGCGTGAGCGAGCAAGCGAGAGAAGAAAATTCTATAAATATATATAAAATATATATGAAGCTGATAATCTATCCACTTAACTCTTCATCAGGTTAGTGTTACAGGCAGACATTTGCTTCCTGTGACGTATGAATGGCTCTCCATATAAATACTCCACCTTCAAAAGTCAAGAGGACACAAGCTCCTCTGATGAAGCTGCTGTGTGTGTTAATGATTACTAATTAAATAAAAAGTGCTTGGATGGGTTACCATAAACTACCTGCATGCAGTTATTTGCAGCGTGCATGACTTTGAACGACCCTCTCATTCAAAACTTGTTTTTAAGATTTCCCCAAAGCTTTCAACAGTTTTTTAAGTGGTTACTTCAAACGTGGCAAGTATTGAAACCGAAGTAGCTCGTAATCCGACGTGAGGATCGCTCTAACAGAAACGTTTTGTTACATTTTCTTTGAGTATTTAGAAGGAAGAGAACTAACTTGATTCTTTGGTGGCTCTTAAAAATAGCTCCGGTTTGTGGGTCAGCTCTAGTTGGCCCTCCGTGTTCCAGCTGCATAACATTCGATAAAACCAGAGAAATGTAAAGAAAACAAAGAGCTTGCCTCCTAATGGTAACTAGTTTTAGGAAAATGAAGCACAGTAAACTTTATAATCTGTTCGATCCAGAGCTCGACTCTCTGCTCACGTCAGACCACAAGCTTTCAATGGACTTCAGGAGTTTGCGCCTTTCCTTTTTTGTCTAAACAGACTTTTTCTGCTAAAGCTTGCACATTCTATTTATTCATCCTTGCTTTCTATTTTTTTTAGCCTTAACATGGGTCATGCCACCTTCATGCCTATACTTTTACCCTCTATGTAAAAAAGAAACAAAAAGAGAGATGTACGGATTTGTGCGTTAACTTTCATAAGACGTGGGCAGACTTTTTTTAAAATGTAAATTTAGAATACAATAAATATGACACACAGCTTTTGATGAAAGCGAGAAACCACCACACGTTTGCACTTTGTGTGATTGTTTTTTTTAGTGACCAGTCCAACATTATTTAAGGTAAAGGGTAAAAAACGTCCTTCACATTGAAGTGATTAAGTGAAAACGAGGGTCTCGTCTTTTGTATGATTCACGGCAGAACGTTAGTTTTTCCAGAAGGTACGTAAAGAATTTAATATTTCAAGTGCGTTTGCTTCCATTGATGCACGTTTCACCAAAAAAAATGCATCAGAACGCATCCACTACATTAAAAAGGTGAGGCTTTGAAGAGTTAGAAGTCACTAGTACTTTTAAATAACAGCTTAGATTAATTACATTTTTTGCATTTAGCTAGTGTTTACATGTTTGTGTAAATTTCACTTTTCAAATGCGACTTAAAGTTTAGTAACATTCAACAAATGAAAACATTCTGTGAAGTTAAATGCCCTTAATGTAGCTCTTCTATCTTAGACGGTATTTCACATAACGCTCATGTTTTAACTGAGTGAGTTCTTTTAGGAACAGTTTCTGCAGCAGACAGGGTGAATATGTTGAAGTTTGGCTTGGCTCAGATTCTGAGTCACTGAGGTAAGCGTAACGTTTCATTCACAACTTTTATTTGCAGCCTTGAAAAGTTTGAAATGCGTGTTTTAGTAGCTATGCATAAAAAAAGACAGACCAAAAAAATTGAAAAATACTTGTACATGATTTCATACTAGAAACATTTGAAGTGTAGAGCCTGGTATAAGCAGTGTGTGGCTGTAACCCAACTGTTCGTGTCACTCCTCTGCAGTTATTGTTAGAAACAAATGATGCCTGTCTGAGGCTTCAGTCCACATGCAGGGCAGCTGGCCTTATTTTAATCTACTTGACTGTTTTCAGAGCTGGTAAATAAACCAGTATAGCTGCCACAACAGAATGTAAACCCTCGCAGGTTCAGGATTTGGGCCGACTTCAGTTTCTGTGGCCCAAAAAGGTCTCGCAACTTTCCATCATCTTCATCTGAACATGTCCAAACACTGATGAGCTGCTGAACTGGGAAGAGGAGCTGCCTTAGACCAAAGAAAAAGTAAGGTTTTCTCATTTAGCACTTTGAGTTATTCCAGCCTCTTTCTGTCTCTGTTGCGTTTCCTCAAATTATGTCTGGGCTCAGTGCCAAAAAAAAACAATAACCTGAAAGTTAATTTTAGAGTTATTCAAAAAGGAAACTACCTTTTATTTTGGTCTTGTAGAAGCAGGAGTTGGTAAAATGGACTGATTATTTCAGTTTTAATGTGACTTTAGATAAAGGGTGTCAAACTCTTTTTCACCAAGGGCCACATGACCATTTGTGGCCCTCAACGAGCCAGTTATATAACTGACGTTTCATGCTAAACTTCAACTAAACACAAAACACCACTCTCATCTCATTGCTACGGCTGAGCACCTCTAACAAACAAATAAGGGTTAAATAAGAGTAAATAAAAAAACTGAGCTCTACGTGGTGTTTCCTGCATAGAAACAGCGTTTTTCAACACATCGTCTTATAAACAATACAAGGTAAGAGTGTTACTGTTACGTTGTGGTGAGTAGCTGCAGTCTTGAATTCCCATGCATAAGCAACATGCATTATATGAGATGTAGTTTATGGTCAAAACTAAAAACTATTTCATAAGAAATATATACTGTACATTTGTCTTTTGCCCTTTTTTCTTTGGTGGGGGGCCTGTGGGCTTTGAGGTGGAGACATGCTTTGTAGCCTAAGACCCTGACGGTGACATCGGCAGGTCTCTTTACATTATTACCTCTTATTGTTAATGATGTTGCCATTAAAAATAAAATTAAAATAAAGGCTTAAGCAGACATTCAGAAATTCATTGTTTTGCTATAGGATGATTATGTGTAATTCCTAAACAGAAAACAGTAACATTTTTATTTTGTAGTTGAAAATGCAGCAGCTGGAACTAAAAAGTCTAAATTTTTCTTTTTTTTTATTTATATTGTCTCTTTTCTACATTTGTACTAGCACCTGTGTCATCTTTTGCCTTTAGATTTGATTTATTAAACTTTACGAAGAAAAGCACAAAGTGTGTTGTAAGACATACCACCTTTAATAAATGCACAGTATCACAAGAAACATTTCCATTAATTGTGGATAAGCTACTCACATGATGCACAAAGCTCTGAATTGATTGATAGAACTGGCTGATTATAGCAGGATCAAATCTGCTGGGAGCACCACCCCCCCACCACACACACACACACATCCAGACAGACACAAATACAGATGCGCACACACTCCTGCACACAGATGTATGTGCAAATGCACGCAAACACACTCTTTGTATTCTCATAAGTAAAATTAGTTATTTTCACAGGATTGAAAACTGTAACCCCCCACTTTTTTTTCTTCTTTTAACATATATTTACAAAAAAATCCTTTAACCCCTTCCCCACCCAGATATACATTACATTCAAAAAAGGTCCCCGCCCATCTAGATTACATTCAAAATAATATACTATTCATGATGCAAAGTCACAGTTATTCATCTGAAAGAGGATCAAAATAGGCTACAGTCAGTCTGAGGTGGTCAGAGCTGTGGAGGGTGGGACAGGTGGAGACCTTTTGACCTCGCCTCCGTCCACCACACATCTGCTGGGACGCCGTGCTGGGTGAGGAGAAATCCTGATGTTTAGAGTCTGTGGTCCTCCTACAGACAGGCAGCCTCTCAGACCGCCTCGGCTCCACATCACAGTGGAGAAAAAAAATTCACGTTTTTCTTCAGAGAAAATCACATTGTCTTAAAGTCCTTTACAGATCAAAGGTTGCCCAAAATAAAAACCAAAAAAAAAGAGGATTGTTTTTTCACTGGTTATATGAACGAGCACAAAGAAATCATACAACGCAGCACAAATCAAATCCTATTTACAGTTAGTACGTATTGCCAGTGGCCCATAACACATTGTCTTCGATAGATGTCACACAGTTTTGGACATACCTGCTTAAAACAGATTATACTATTAAACATAGCCTACTATTGATATAGACAGATATCAGAACTGTACAGAATGAACAACAGGTTATGTACAGCAGACACATGATGTAATACAGAACACTGTATAATAAAATAAAATAAATAAAGCAACACACACAAAAACCTTTGTTTTTAATCAGGAAAATGTGTTACGTTTTGATTTGATTTGAGGGTTTCAAAATGCTACAAAGTGCACTCAATAAACTGAACTCTGTCTTATTTCTGTACACATTCATTTAGCAAAAACAGAGGCTAGTTTTATGGACGGATTGTCTTTTTTTCTTTTCTTTTTTTCTTTTTTGCTAAGATTAACAGAAGTTGATTTGTGAATGTCTGCACCTTGGTTGTTTTTATTTTATAAATGTAAAACTACAGATGACAACATGAGTGCATTTAAAGATGGCTAACTTGGAATGAAACGTGCTTCGTGTCAGATTGAACACACCCGTGTTTCAACTTAGACGGTTAAATGCTTGTTAAAGCGCTCACTGCAGTCTCATTTGTATAACTAAAAAAATTTTGTTAAAAAAGCACATAAATCATTGATTCACATTGATGAATTGCATTAAAATGCCCTGGTGGCCCTTACCATGAACTCCCTCCTGTCTGCTGAAATCCCGAACTGTGCAAAACCTCAAAACTGAGACATCTGAGCCATCGAACAACAAACAAACAAAAAAAGAAAAAAAGTGAAACAACCTGTGTAGCCGAATCCCACATCTCTGTGCTTTAGACATGTATGAAAAAGGTTTTATAGCTACATTTAAAACATTTTCACAAACTAACTTTTTTATATTAGAGAATAAAAACATAAACGATGGAGGTATTTAAAGAACAGAAGCAAAATGTCGTATGGCCTTTTCCAACTTTTAACTTGAGCTATTTTTGAAATCAAAACATTTTATCTACATACATCTTCTTTCGAGGAGAATTTCTTCCTTTTGTATTGTTTTATTTCCACCAGACATAAAATGCAGAGCAGAGATGAATGAATCGCAGAGTCTGTTCATTTATTTATTTTACACCTGTGTGTGTCTGCAGTGCAGGATTGGGGAAAAAATTCCACATTTTTTTTCCTTTCTTTTTTGAAACATGCCTCAAAGAGTTTGCAAATTAACTTAAAAAAAAAGCAAACCTAAAATTTAAGGCTTCTCTCCATGTAACGTAAGACATGGACGGTCGGCATTTACAGCCAGATTCTGTACACAGACGAGGCCGTCACTTCCCCCCCACCCCCGCCTTAACCATGTGCCGTAAAAACACTGGAATACTCGTCCACACACAAAGCACACGTAAAACAAACATACATGGATGTTGGCGCATCAGCCCAGTATGTCCAGATAGACGGGTGAGGCCTTGGCCAGGCTCTGGAGCATGCTGTGGATCTCCTTGATGTTGAGCCTCATGTAGGGCTCCCTCTGCCAGCAGCCCAGCATCAGGTCATACACCTCCTTGGGACAGGTGCGGGGCCGCTGCAGCACTCGGCCCTGCGTGATGCATTCAATCACCTGCAGCAGACAGTGGCACCAAGTTTGATTTACTTCATGTCTCCAAAACACGATTTAAATCACTACTTTTACACATTCATCAACAAAATTATTTTAGATATTTACATGGTTTATATTTGCACACATTCCATATACACCTTAAGGACTGTTAACATTTAAAGTATGCGCTGTCAAAGACTCAACTTCGATGTCAAATTTTAGCTCGTTTGTAAAATTGACTGAGTTGTAGGCACTTTTATGTTGACTTATGTTGAATTTCTATTGAGTTCAAACATAAATCACTTGTAGATGTAAATCCAATTTTACTAAAAGTTCAATTAAAATCTGTTCAGTGGTTCTTAGGGTATTTTCCAAACAAACACAGCTGACTCCAACAGGTAACGCTAAAGATTTAGGCAGTGGTGGACAAAGTACTCAACTCTAGTACTTGAGTAAAAGTATTGATACTCATGGTCAAATCTACTCCACTACAAGTAAAAGTTACTCAGTCAAAAATCTACTCAAGTAAAAGTACTGAAGTACTTACTTTTGAAAATACTTAAGTATTCATAAGTACATGCATTTTAAAGTACTTAAGTACAAAGTAAAAGTACAAATTACATTTTTTTATTTTCTTTTTCTTGTCACTTCAGTAGAAAACTAAACTAAATATTAGTTTATTTAGTTTATTTCTTCATCATCAGTGACTTTTTTAAGTGAAGAGAAAATGGAGACAGAGAGAAAAACAGAGAGAGAAGTAATTAGAAAGATATAAAGATTGAAATAGCGATTAGAAGTATATTAAATATACACCAAGAAAACACAGGACCACACACCCAACATCTGTCCGCTCACCTGAAAAATAAATGGATAAATACATGGAGGGCATATATAAATATATACACATACCCATTCATATATAAAGATATACATACATACATGCCTATATTCATAAATATTGTCAGTGTATACACACAGACACGTATACACACTCAGTGACAGTCAGAACTATAAGCTACGCATGTGATTGGTTACCTTTGTGACGAACATAGCTTGTGGCCAATTGCATTTCATGAAAAGAAAAACCGGAACAACTGATTTTTTCTTTTTTTTTTTACAGCGGATTATAAAGCTATGCTGATTTAAAAGGAACGAGTAACGACAAGCTTCCTAGAAATGTAGTGGAGTAAAAAGTACAATATTTGTCTTTGAAATGTAGTGGAGTAAAAGTAAAAAGTTCCCAAATAAATAACTACTCAAGTAAAGTAAAGATACTCAAAAAATGTACTTAATTACAGTAATAAAGTAAAAGTACTTTGTTACTGTCCACCACTGGATTTAGGCAAAGATTTCACACAATGAGAAATACTTTCAGTTGATGACTCAAATACTAAATTTTATCTCAATATCTGTGAAACTGACAGAGTCAATTTTTGAGTTTTCTGTGCTCGGTTGGCTGTGGCAGCCATCTTAAATTGGGTTATCCTTAAATACTAATCAGTTGTTGGCTGGGTCCAAATTCAGAGGCTGGGTCCTCCGAAGGATCTGATCTACCCGGTCTAGGTGGGTCAGGTCCTTGGTAGAAAAGTGGATGGTCTAGCTTCCCTTCCTTACTCTGGCATGTGTCCTGTCATCTAACAAATGTGGCGACAGGACATTTATTCATTTATTTATTTAGTTCTGCTCTCGGGGGAGTAAGACGCTTTTCCCCTCTCCCCTGTCCTGCCTTATCTTTCCCTGCTTTGCTGCTCGGAGCCTCCTCTACGTTTATCATCCAAAACCAAAAATTATGGATTTATTTTTATGGATTTGGTTAGCTGGTCTCTTAATAAATTTTTGGAACAAAGTTTTTTTTCCATGGGAGGACATGTCAAAGGTGAGACCTCTGTTCTGCTCTGTTCTGGATATATATTTGGATTCTGATCACTGGATTCTACAGATTGGCTTGGTTGTCTCCAGCCTTGTGCGAGCTGAACTTGGTCTGCAAGCGGTTCTGCTGAGGGTCGCGGGCCGGCTGTGGTTCCTGGACTTTGCTGGCCAGACGGAATTGATCTTGGAGAAACTGATAGTTCGGCGGGATTGCCCACACCATTTGTCTGATCGGATTTGCCACATTGGATGTACCAGCGGACATTAAGGCAGATGGAAAATTGTTATTGTCTGCCTGACCAAAAACATTTTCTCTGTTCCCAAACAACTGATTACAGATTCGTCCCCCAACACCACACACACCCATGTGACCTTGAAGGCAGTGGATCTAATTTCTCCTGGAGTTTTCTTCGACTGTGGCTCCTCTCCCCACTCTCACTCCATCTAATCTGATCTCCTGAAGGTCAACCTGAAGCTGCACAGAATGAACAATTCAACACCAATATTCTGAACTATGGCTGAACTACGGGTTTTTCTTTTGGGAGGCTGGATTCTTCAGACTATTTCCCTCTAAACTCACTTACTCCTCTGGCTAATAAATGTGCTCTTGCTCTGAAGAGTTTTTTTTAAAATAAATAAACACCATAGTGTATCATATTTAATTGATATAATGTGATGTCTTGTTTTATTTCCTCACCTATCCTCATGTGGTATTTTCGTTTTTCTTTTTAAAGGTAGTGCGACCCCTGCTGGTTGCCGCATGACCTGATCACCTGTTCCCCCATGTTTGTCATGTGTGTTTTCTTGAACGGGTGTTCTTAAATGTAATTTCATTGTGCTCGTACAATGACAATAAAGGCATCATCAAATCAAATCAAAGGTAGTTGAAATTAGAAAAATATCAATATATTAGTATTATTAATATCAGAAAACAATAAAATTAGCTTGAAGGCAACATTTGAAGAACCAAGGGACCTGCCATAGGTGCATGGTTATTTCGCTTGTTTGATTTCTGACAAGAATATATTTAAAAAACATGTCCAAACAAATGACAAAAGCATTTACAACACAACTGCTTGAAACTTAATTTTTGCACTGCTAAATTTTTATTTTAACCTGTACTCCTTTATCTTGCTTTGTCCACCATTACTACCAGAAAAAAATTCTCCGGTCAGCCCGCAATGCATTAAGGGATAGCATGGGCAGAGAAGGATCCAATGGACCCATCCTTCAAATCGGTGCAAAAGAAGGATGCGTTTGTCAGTCGCATTGGAGGAGTCTTCGAATTTGGACAGCCTCCGGCGCGGCGCTGAGAGGACCCAGTCTCTGAATTTGGACACAGTCGTTGATGTACAACCAATGATTACTTCCTCAAAGTTGTAAAGTCAGTTTAGTATTTCATTAAATATTTAGCTAACAGAGTTGACACCACACAAAAATAACTGTTTGCTATGATGCACTAGCCTGTAGCTCATCAGTCCAAATTAAACATTTTCTCCAAACTAAGACATTCAAAGCTTTATCTACAACAGGTAAGATATTGGTTAATTAAAAATTGTCCACTGAACTCCACTTCAAAAAACCTGACTTGTCTTTTTATGCGTTTTAGTTTTGTGTTTGCACCAAGACATAGAATTTTAACACATTTTAAAGTACCAGTAATAAAGATTTTACAACTTCAGTCACCAAAATCACTGAAACTACATTTTCCATTGTGCAATAACTACAGCTTTTGTTGTTCTTTTCCAATATGTAGAAAGTGTTTATGTTACAGCTGGAAACTTTAAAAAGAGAAACTCTAAAATCTAACTGGACTGCGGTTTCGCTCTCAGGTGACTGACCTCATTGTTGGAGAGCTGGTACCAGGGCTGCTTGCCATAGGTGAAGATCTCCCACAGCACCACGCCGAGGCTCCACACGTCGCTCTCTGTGGTGAACCTCCGATACATGATGCTCTCCGGGGGCATCCAGCGAATGGGCAGCATCGTGTGACCGCCCACCTGCAGACACAGAACAACCTCCATCAGCAGCAGTCACAAGGTCATCTGAAGGATTCAGAGTTGCAGGGTTGCTGCCACGGCTGAATATTTTTAGTTTATGAGATGTCACTGTGCAAATGTTCTCCACAACAATAATCTTGCAATGATTCTCACATTCATGAAGGGTACTGCAGCTTATCTAGAAGCTATAATAATCTTTAATGTGATAAAGACTGGAAGATGCTTTACATCTGCTTATTCTATCTTATAAACATTTTGAATGTCTGTCCAATTTTAATTCAAATTCATAATATATAGCCTTCTTAGAGCTTGAACACTTGTTTTTTATCTTAATGTGTAATCAATTGTATTATGATTTTGTTTGGACTACAATTGAAAATAATACCTGAGTGGATTAACTCCAGTGATCTGTGTAAATTTTTAAACAAAGGTTTCAGTTTTTGTCAAACCCGTGATCGATTGAGATGTTTTTCTCTTCATTAAGTCTGGCCTCTGGAAAAACGTAACTAATGTAACCACAAGAGACGTTATATCTTTGCACCACAGTATTCACAATGTGGTGTTAGCCAGTAATGGACTAATTGCCTGCCGATCAATAATCTAAATGTGAGTAAGGCTGTCCATTTTCCTGTTTGATGGAATTTACTGGTTTGGCTTGTTAAAATGAAGGCAGCATTCCTTTAAACAAAGCATACTGCCTGCTGTCTTACATTTAAACCAAAGCATCCTGCAGCCTAGCACTCAGATTATATGTTGTGAATGTCCACCACAGAAAATTTTAGCTTCATATTTGTAAAATTGACTGAATTCTGGATATTTTTGATTAGATGTAGTGGCCATCTTGAATTGGGTTGACATGTGTCAGGTGTTGGAAACATAGGCTGTTCATGGAGATCTTTGATCTTAAATGTGTTACAGGAAAGTTTCCTCTTTGTGCGTTTAAATTTTAAACCCCAGCAGAGGGCGCTGTGGGACTCAAGCTAGGAGCTGAGACCCCAAAGGATGATGGGAAAATGTGGAAATATAAAAACACTGTTGAAACATAACGTCATTAGGTGGGTACTAGCTTCTTTTCCTTGTGGTTTTCTGTTGAATGATGGCAGAAATTCACTTGTTGCACAGAAAGAAAAAAAAAACAGACAATGCTCTTTTTTTTCTTTTAATAAAGTGAATTGTACAATTTGCATTTATTGCTTGTAAAAATTAAAGATATTTTTGGTTAAGTTAAGAAATTAACCAAATTCAAAATTTTAGCAAAAAATATTATTTTCTGCAAAAACACAGTGTGCTGATTGCTGAATCGTGACCGCTGAGATTTGTCGAAGGAGCTAAAGCTGAGTTGTTGATGTTAATAAAAGCAAAGAGCTGAACTTGGCAAAACAGCAACTAAAGGTCTAAACCAGTGGTTCCCAGACTTTTCATCTTCTGACCCCAAAAATATCCATGGCAAAAACTTGTGACCCCAAATATTACTGGTCTGAGTACATGAGCTTTGTTAATAACCCTAAAAACACAGGCTTTTTGACAATCTAAACAGCTTGTACACAAATATAAATACTTATTTTGTGTTTTTGTAATAATTATAGGGAAAATATTACATCAGCAATTATTTTATTACCCTTTAAATTGATTTCTGGAGATTATCCAAGGTGCTTCATGACCCATAATTGGGTCCCAAGCCCAACTTTGGGAACCAAAGTGCAGTGGTTCCCAAACCCTTCAGCTTTTGACCCAGAAAATAGCAGTAGTAGAGACCTGTGCCCCCAAATATTTTTGGATGACAAACATTTGTATCAGGTCAACTAAACATGGGCATAGTAACAATATTTTATACTACATTTATCCATTTTAAATACACTAACCTCACTCCTTTGTAACAACTAAGGCAAAAATATAATTAATTCAGAAAATCTTTTCATGACCCCCACCTTGATGTTTCAGGACCCGACCCCAACTTTGGGAAATACTGGTCTAAATGACCAAAAACCATATAGCCAACAGCTACAATTAGCAAAACTCTAGGTGAATGCTAATATGAGCATTGCTGTAGCTAAATGCTAAAATAAGCAAAAACATAGCTAAGAGGTTTGAACTTGTATAGCACTTTATCAAGTCCCAATGAACTCCAAAGCACTTCACCCTAAAGTCATTCACCCATTTATTCACACACTGATGATGGTAAGCTACATTGTAGCCACAGCTGCCCTGGAGCACACTGATGCACCGGCACCACCAGACCGTTTAAACACCACCAGCAGGCAAGGCAGGTGACATGTCTTGCCCGAGGACACGACTGAGATGAATGGGGAATCAAACCTGCAACCCACTGGTTACACGACTCCCCTAATCATTGTGCCACAGCAACCCTAAAGCCAGCAAAGATTAGCGTAATGCAGCTGAAAGCCAAGATTAGGAAAACAAGACCTGAAGGTTAATTGGCAAAAAAACAGCTAAAAGATTATGTTAGCAAAACCACTGCTAAAACTGTAAATAAACAAAACCATAGCTCAAAGATACAGTTAGCTCAACAGCAGCTATGAGTGAAAATCAGCAAAACAAAAATGTTAAAGATAAAATTAGCAAATACTCAGTATAAAAGTTACAAATAACAAAATCAAAAATCATGAAAAAGCTGAACAATTCAATAACTGAACAGTTCAAGTTTATGAAAGTTTGCTGAAAAAGAAGTCAAAAATGTACAGAAAAAGGTATAAACAAGACAAAAACAGTGTGAAAGCTGACTCATCATGTTCCACTGTGTAAAGGTATATTTCTATACGGTATGGAGTATGGACGTAGGCGTGTTTGTGTATGAAAGTAACAAAGCGAGGAAGAAGGGATGTAAAATACTCACTCTGTAATAATCTGTGCTGTAAATGTCTCTGGACATGCCAAAGTCTCCAATCTTGACAAGTAGGTTTTCTCCTACCAGGCAGTTCCTTGTTGCCAAGTCTCTGTGGACAAAATGCTGCGAAGCCAGGTAGACCATCCCAGCAGCAATCTGTTGAGCAATGTGCAGCATCTGGGACTGCGTTAGCTCCACTAGGATACTGTGCTGACCGTCTGCCATGAGAACCGCATCAGGACCGTGAGACCTGCACCACAAAAACTCTGTCACACAGGAAGAATTTGCAGCACAGATAATGTTCCTAAAACATTTTTTCTTTTTACTAAATACATATCTCATTAACCACCTGATGGATTTTAATGAAACTTGTAGAAAGTAACCATTAATAAATATCATTCTCAGTTTTGTAATATGTCTTGCAGAACTGTTCAAAATACGAATAAGTACGTAGCTGAAGTGACAACTTCAAAATGAATATTTTCATCACAAACTTAGAACATATGCTCAGTAAGGCAGCTAAAATTCACATTTAAAAGGTTAGATTTGAGACCTTTTAGCCACTTTATAAACTATTGCAGATGGATTTTCTGTTGATCAAATCGCATTTAACACATTTTAGCTCCATGCAATTTTTTGCTTACATGTAGATGATTTGCATGAATTTAAATAATCTAAAAATCCATTTATTGTTGACAGAATCAGGTGTCTTCAATGATATGAACCTGTGACATCAGCAGAGCCATTACAGTCGCTGCTATAGTTGAAAATGTTAAACCTGTGGACAGATAACACTTGGTGCTTTACGACATCTGAGCTGATTTTTGCTGAGTTTCTGCCGATTGCTCAGCAGCTTTGTATTCATGAGTCGAGCAGCTGAAAGGAAGTCTGTAAACTATAGCTTTTACACTTAAAGCAACAGATTAAACAAACAAGATACTGAGTGCTTTTTAAGGTTTAGATTGTCTTCCATTTGCTTTACTCTTAACTAAAAGGTTTGTTAACATGCATGCGTGAGATTCTGATCCTTTCATCATTATTACAGGGATGCAACTGTTGGCAACTAGTTGGAGACAAACTTGAAGGAAATGTGAGGAGGGAGCAAACTTAGTATTTCCTTACAGACTCTGAGACCAAATCAACTTGAAGCTGAGTTTTTAAAAAGAAATTGGGAGATTTTTCCTGTACATCAGTACTGTATATCTGCAAAAATGGTGGAAAATCCATGTAATTTACAGACAATCATGACATGTATGCTCTCAGTCTGTCCAGTTACACCTGTTCCTGGTTTCATTTAGTCACAGCTGCAGCCACTCTTCCTCATTAGCTTTGGTTTATTAAATCTGTCTGTTTCCATTCATTCCTCAGTCAAGTTTTATTGGCTTTCACGCCACATTTGGTCTTTCTCGTGCACCTTTGTGCTCTCACAAGAAATTCTCTTTGAGTGTTTTGTAAGTTTTGTGATGCCTCGTCAATGTTTTGTTTTATTAAAACAAGAAATAGTCACAAAAAGTCTCAGTTTGGTTTCATACGTCATCAACCCCTGCCAAAGTTGCCTCACGTTTCCTGCACTTTATACAGGAAATTAAATTGAAAAGGGTTCCAGACGGCTGCTACAACTCACAAATTTTTTATACACGGTCAACATTTTACCAAATCCCCGCAAAAATGTTGACAATGTGTCGCCAACAGTAGCAGCGCCTTGAGATTCCGCTTCTGAACGGTTCCTTTTAACTTTTTGTCTGTGTTTATCAAGGCCCAATGATCCCACCTGAGAAACTTGTTCAGGTCGCCGTGCTTCATGTATTCAAACACCATGATGAGCGGGTCGCTCTCCACGCACACCCCGTAGAAGGTGACGATGTGTTCGTGCTGCAGGTTGGTGAGAAGCTCAGCCTCTCTGTAGAAGTCTGCTCGGCCGCTCTCGGTGGCCTCCTTCAGGGTCTGATGGGGGGGCAGGCACAGGCAGAATCGTGAGAAGCGCCTCCTACAAGAAGGAACACCTGATGGAAACGTTTACGGATCTGTACCTTGACCGCCACGTGGATCTTCTCCTGGTCTGGCACCAGGTTGTAGCATTCTGCAAGAAACACTTTCCCGAAGGCTCCTTCTCCCAGCTCCCGCTTCAGCACTATGTTGTGTCTTTTGATGTGATGGACAACTTGAATGCAGAACAAAGTCACAACAATTGTAAGATCGTGGGTGCATTTTGGAAATTTTCAGTTAATGTTTTAGGGTAAAAGTTAGAGTAAATTTTCAATGACCAAAAAAAAAATAATAATAATAACCCAATCATTTTTAGTACTTGACTCAGTGAAGCTCTCTGTTTATATTGCATCATTCATCTGCTTGTAAAAGTTTGGTACCCAATCATTTCATTAGAACTAAATTACTTCTTTACTTTGAAATGTAACACCTAGTTACTTGTTACAAAATTAAATATGTTTGAACTCATCAGGAAAGAAGAGGTTTCTGCACTCTAAAAAAATGAAGTGTTGAATTTACTCAACAAAGTCATGTCAACTGGCTCCACTAAGCCTATTTGAGTAAATTGAGCAAATAAAATACATATATAATATATGTACAGTATATTCTTTGCTAAATGTACTCAACTTAGCTTAGTGGAATCAGTTTGGTTCAGTAAATAAATCCCACAGCTTATTTCTTACAGAGTATGTAAAAGTACTTTTACTTTCCCAATTTTTGTGAACAGTTTTACGACTTTTACTTGAGTAGTTTTTCTCATCAATGAAATTTGTTTTTACCAAAGTCCTTTTCTGTTCATGTAGTTTTACTTTTACTTAGTTATTTTTTTCAAGTACTTTATAGACCTCTGCTTAAAGGTTTTATAAAGTTTTGTAAAGAGAACAGCACACAGCAGGAAGTTTCTTTCTGTGTGAAGTTTGCATGTTTTCCTCGTGTTTATGTGAGTTTTCTCCAGGTACGGTTTCCTCCCACAGACCAAAAACATGCACAGTAGGTTGTTTTCTGGCCCAGGCCTCCCATGCAAAAGGAATCGGAGGTTTCAATGGGATTTGCCAGATTAAGTAAATATTATTAAAATAATATAAAAAAAACAACAGGACAAATATCATCTATAGGTTAACTGTCCAGAATAGGAGTCACTGTGACAATACAGCTGGATGCTGACTATAAATATGGTACGTAGGAGTGATCCCCGCATGGATTTATCAGAAAAGGTCCAGGTTACCCAGCATTTTTTTTAAAAATGATTTGGTAACTCACACGTGTCGGATTTCAGAATGCTGCCGGAGTTACGGAAGTACTGCGGGTTCTCAATTACAGGAATCTTTGTCATGCCAATGATCACCGCATCTGGACCCATTTCTGAGGACGACGGGGTGTTGTTGCCATTGGAGACGTGATGAAGAGGGCTAGCGGAGTCATCGTCATTGCTGATTACAGAGGAGGAGCCTAGGGAGCCACAGAGGAAGAGGAGGAGGAGAAGGCAGCCAGGAAACAGGAGAAGAGATGAACACAGAAGGTGTAGTGTAGCACATTGGATGCACACAGTGTCCTGCACAACATTTGATTCTGAGATTTTTTTAAATGAATAAGGACTTTAAACTGCCAATAAAAGTGATAATTCCCACTTGAAATATAAATTTAGCACACTTTATATTTAAAGGTATTAAATCCTGTTTATAGACGGCAAGTAACTATGAATTGGAGAATGCACTTAAAGGCAAATAAAGTGTCCCCACAACAACACATCTAAGAACACTTTATGTTTTATAACATGTATTCATAAACAAATAAAAAATTTCTACCCCATAACACATTTGGGACACTTGAATTTAATATTTGTGAAACTGAAAACATGTTCCACCAAGAAATGTTTGTGTCTACACAGAAACAACTTCCTACATCCTGTGCGTGATGTTAAAGTTTTTTAATTATGAACAAATGTCACCATAATTTGCCTCGTACCTGTGATTTTTTAATGAAGTTAGTCAAATTTGAGTTTCCTTTTCTCCTTTTTTTCACTATTTCTTACATAAACAGAGTTACAAATTCACACAAGGCTGAATGAGAGGGTAATAATGGAAAAATCAAAGTTTGTGGAATAAAATGTTTTTTTTATTCATTATGTTTCAAATAATTAATCCTATTTACATCTCAGCCAAGCACAATGACCTGAAACATCTAACCTGAGTGGGAAGGCTAAAGAGAAGAAACCACACATAATGACATAATGACAGTTTAACAGGGAAAATATAATAATGTATTTTACCTTTGATACCAAACTTTGAGTTTCTTCCATATTTCAGAATGATGACCATCAAAACACAGCCAGTCAAGGCAACTCCAGCTATTCCCACAACTACATACACCTGTGAAAACAAAAACAACTCACATTAAAACTGTGATCCTTCTAAAGAGACGAAACTGGACCTGAGCTTAGTATTTCCTGTAGCCAAAGAAGGAATAAAATGTAGCTTGAGAATGATGAGCAGACACTGTAAGTAATAATTAAAAACACTTACTGCAACACTGTCGTCCAGTGGAGGCAGTGGTGTGTCTGAAAAACAAACAAACAAACAAAAAAAGGACATTAATATGTATATTTTGACAGATGCATGTTTTTGTACAACTTGGAATGACAGAAAAAGTCTTACCATCTGAGCAGATGAAGCCGATTGGTAGAGAAATGACAGATGGAGATCATTGTTATTTGAATGCACCAGCATCACAAATTTTGGTAACAAGAAGGAAAGAAATTTTGTGTTACTTACCATACTCTTCATCTATATGAAAAAAGAAAAGCAAAAGCAAAATATCCATTAGCAGTCAACTTCTAATAGGGACAATGCATACAAACACATAGAACAGATCAAGTCTGTAACTGATGCGTTGCACAAAGAGTATATAGCTACAGCTAATTTGCAACTCCAGTCCCTGGTTGGGCATTTCTACACAAACAAAATACATATAGTTTATGCATCCATATACACTAAAAATACATAAGCATGTCTGCCAAGAAATTCATAAAATCAACCAATACAGCTTACAAATGCATGCAATAAAATCATACAAAACGTTAAAATACATAAAAGTTAGAATTCTAAAACAAACAGTTCAAATAACCTTAGAACCTCTAAAATTAACCATACACACCCTCAGGTACCTCTCCATCCTCCCACATTAGCCAACACACGGTAAAAATTATCACTACAACACTAACTCGCCAACACATACAGTCCTACACAGACGGTTCTCATCATTCAATCTAAATACTAAAAATGATCACATCTTTGGTTTTCCTTTAGCCAAGATTTAGTCATGTGGATGAATTTTTTAAATTCAAATGTAGCTTTTATTTGCAGAGGCAATAAATTCCATAACGTTGTGCTTTTGTGTGAAAAGGCAGACTGACCAAATGAGGTTCTACATAGGGGAGTTATGCAGTTCTGTTGTAATGATCCTCTAGTGACCCTGTAGCTGTTTTTCCTTTGTATAAAATCCAAATCGTGACTTGATTTTACAAAACACAGCCTTAAACAGTATAATGTTGGTAATGTAAGTAAGCATATGCACACCTTCTGAAAATAATTACCTATAAGCCTTTTTTTTTCCAAGTTTGTCAAGAATCTCAAAGTCAGATGGTAAAAAATTACTTAGACCAGAGGTCTTCAACAATGAGGCCAGGGTCATGAAAATTTATATACATTTTTTTCCCTTTTAGCACACATTACCATGAATCCAACATATAGCAAATACATAAATGGAGACATCAAATACTGTGTTTCAATCAGAAAGTGGCAGCTGTGTTACAGTGGTAGGACAGCTGTCTTCACCCCTCTGGTATAAAGTCCACGTCATGGTGTCTTTGAGCAATCCACAGGCACTTAGGTGGATCTCACTGTGATGGGTCAAAGTCCATCAGTGTAAAATTTTGTGAAAATATAATATGCTCAATTTTGAAAATGTAATTTATTTTAAAAAAATTATTTAATTTACAAAGTTCTCAATGGATTAGCCCCACCTCCACTTTCTGCCTTCATTAAACCAAGGACAAACAGAAGTTTTAGCATCAGAGCCTCCTCCAAGAGGAGACCTAGAGATTCCATTTTATTTATTTATTTTACCATTGTTTAACTTGGCAAATCCCAGTGAGATCACAGATCCCTTTTTAAGGGAGGCCTGGGCCTGAAACCAACCTATTGTACATGTTTGAGACATAAAATAGTGTGTTTGTCAGATTCCATACAGGAAAACAACTTTTGGACAAACTGTTCTGTCAGGGAGAGGAGGTCACTTTCGGAACAGTCTCCCAACAAACATAAGGGAATGTCCCACTTGTGTATTTAAAAAGCAGAGACTAGAAGTGAAGCCAATAATTAAAATAAGCTTATAAAGTCAATGTAATCACTGGTATTTATTGAACTGGTTAGCAGATATTAGCTTCTGTAGCATAATGTTGTACAGAGTGTAGCACTCTGCTGAATCATGCCACAGTTTACCACAGATTATTAAATATTACAAGCCATTTTTGCCTCTAATGTTTGTTATATTTACAAAATGTAAAATACTGTTATATATTTAGCTATTTTTAAGTTTCTCTTAGACAAACCTGACCTTTTGAGAAGATGGTTTGCCAATATCAATAGAGACAAGTTCCATGCAGTGAACAAGTATTGACTGGTAAATATTTATTAATATTATTGATGGAACGTAAGAAATAATAAATATACTTTATTAGTTTTTTTAAATAGCTAAAAGTCTAAGTTATAGACTGACTTCAGGTCTGGTTTAGATCATTATTACTAATAAATTATATAGTTTTTTGGTATCTGCTGCTGATATTACATTTGAATTTCCCCTCTGCGGGACAATAAATGATGTTTCTATTCTATTCTATTCTATTCTATTCTATTCTATTCTATTCTATTCTATTCTATTCTATTTTGCTGTTGTACATGATTGTTGAATGAAATGAGCATAATCCTTAATTTGTAGTAAAAATATTACTGATAGTTTGTGACACAGATCCAGTTGGGCTTGCTGTTAATCAGGTAGTTGCTATGAGGGCTGTGAGCAGATACGCTGTATTGTCACCATTTTTGCTCCCCCTTGTCACAGATGCTAACAGTGGATGAGATAAGAGGGACTCACTCTAGTGATATTCAACTCTTTGAGAGTTCATAATGCAACTTGAAGAAGCTAGTCAGATCCCAGCCATGCTGCAAGATTAGTGTCAATAAAGAATAAATTTTGGCAAACAGAAGAGCAGAACGATACTGAGCTCGCAAGGGTATTTATTTTCTTTTGCATTCCCATGCAATGCGATTGTGTTACCTTGCAAAAGCTGTTTATTTTTGTTGTTCCTGCCGATTCATTAGCAAATTCACATGTTCACCGTTGTACGGGAGTTTGCCTACCACTTTCATTCAGCTTCGGAATAACTACATCACATCATGTAATATGCAGATGTTTTAACTCTATGCAGCCATGCAATATCACCGTCAATTTCTGAATATGTATCGACACATCCTGATTTGGCAACCAGATAATTCAAAAATAATAGTCAGATTTAATACAATTCATACAAAACATTAAACTTTTACTTGGGAGCAAAAAATAAAATTAGAGGGAATGAAAACATTTACGCAGGAACGCAAAAAGTATTGCAAGGTAATGCAAAAATAAAAATAAAAATAAAATAAAAATAAAAAAGAAACCAAGCCTAATTTCTTTGGTTGCTCACAGTCATCCAGGCTTTATGGTTGTATTTTGTTTATCAATAAGTTCATAAGCATTTTATATCGAGACTTTTTCCTTATACTTTGTCAGAAGCTTAATTGATATTTTGTCTGCATTTTTCTTTAGTTTTCATTGTGTATATATATATTATATATCTTGCTGTAATAAATACATCAGCTTGAAGAAACCACTTGTCTAATTATGCTTCTAGAGAGCTATAATATATACATATACACGGGGTTTGTGCTCCATCTCTCCATCAGTTTGGAGGTCCCAGACTGAAAAATGTTGAAGAACCCCTGACTTAGACGATTATTTTAAGAAGCTGTCGATATTAAACTTTTACACATTTCCGTTTTCAGTTGAACCATATGTTTTACACATTTGGTTGATTGTTTGAACGTTGCTTCTGCTTTAAACTTCTCAGCCATTTTATTCTTGACCTGTCTGGTGTGTTTCTTGGTCCTGCCTTGGTGTTTGGTCACCAGTGTTCAGTTACAGGTAGACTCTGTTTACTATTTAGCTGATCTCTGGCAATTTGTTGCACTAGGTTGTAGTTCAGGATATCAGAGTAAAGACAAGCTTAAAACAAATGTATGCCACACTTTTTCTAATTTGAATTTGTAGAAAATTTTGAAACCCATGTATCATTTTCCTTGCATATCTCTTTATATTGATTTTTCCTATAAAATCCCTGTAAAATCTTTTGAAGTTTGTAACGTGACAAAAATAGGGTAAAGTTCAAAGAGTATAAATCCTTGTACTGTAAATGAACCAACAAAGACACAACATGCTGACCTGGCCCGGAAGGCGGATCGATAAACTGGGCGCTGACCGTCTTCTCATCCTGGCCGAATTTGTTCTTTGCCACCAGTTTGTACTCGCCGTTGTGAATGTGTGTGGGGTTGACTAGCTGCAGGCAGCCGTGGTCTTCATTCTCTGTGGACTCGTGGATCATGGTGCGAATGAAGTCCTGCTCCTGCAGCAGCATGTTGTTGTGGTACCAGTGCAGATAGGGCTTGGGGTTTCCTGTCACGGTGAAGGGGATGCACCAGTGGTGGTCCCGTTCTGGGGGCATCAGGTTCTGGATGGTGGGGGGAACTGACACGGAGGCAACAGTAGAGGAAGAGTAATCATGGGGCTGATAGGAGGTAAACACGAGGAGCATAAGCCAGTAAAAGCAACATTTATGGGTTTAGAGAGAAAAGGGGTGAAGATAGTGAATAAACACAGGGAGGAGAAGGAAACAACATTCAGACTCTAACGACAGGAAAAGGGAGAACGTGAAGAAGTATGGAATTAAACGAGCTTTACAGGAAGAAGATTTATGAACAGGAAACATGGAAAGTCAATAAGATTTGCCAAGAGACACTAATGATAACAAACTGAGGAGCCTTCTGCTTCCACAGGGAACAAAACATGCTCTTGAAGAAGACGTTTTAAAGCTCATCACAACAGAAATCAGACGAGATTAAACTTTGAAATAATGGATGATTTCTAGAAATGCAGACCAAGATGGAAATCCTTACAGAGAATATTGAGCATAAGCGTGGCCTCGTTCTGACCAACCATGTTCTCGGCGCTGCACACGACCACCTTGCCGTTATCATCTGGAGACAGGCCTGACAATATGAGGCTGCTCTTCGTATCCGAGGGATCCATCTGAAAACACAAGATCATTCACGCAGTTATGGGTTCTGTGGAAAAGTACGCTAAAATCACATACCGTCAAGCTGATTTGTATGATAACCAGCAACTAAATATCTAGAGCAGGGGTTCTCAAACCTTATGGGTCTGGGGACCCCTTACAAGGGCGAAAAAATTCCAGGGACCCCCTCATAAACCTCGTGCTCTTTAAAAAGATAATTTATTGTCATTTCAACCCCTAAATGCCATAGGAATATAAATTTTAATTAAGTTTATTATGTTTGTTTTATCATTTCATTGTTCTCCGTGCATTTTTAAAAATTAAAACCAAATTAACATTTTAGTAAAAAAAATTGAGGACCCCCAAGTTACCTCTCGCAGACCCCTGGGGGTCCAGGGGCCCCAGTTTGAGAACCTCTGATCTAGAGCATGTGCCCACACAGCTAATTTTGTCTGGACCAGTTCTGGCCTGCGCAATTTACTAACACTCAGCATTGAAACCACAAAGTATGACGGACCTTTGGTGGCCCAGACGTAGTTGGCCAGAGATGGTCCACGCAAGGACCAGCATCACAAAAAAAGCAAAACACAACTGGGCAGTTGTGGCATTGATAGATTTGGGACACATAAACCAAACCACTGTTGGACCAGTTGTGGCATGCCATCTTAAAAACAACATCAGACCTGGCCCACATCCAGCTGACAAACCACTTGTCATACCAGCAGTGCCAGCTTGACACCAGATCTGGCCCACACCTGTCTGCTATGTGGGTATACAAGAGCCCTTCCAACAACTTTTAGAAAATGTTCTCTACTTGATTCTTCACTACTAATTGCTCTGATTTAGAGTGAGCATTTAACGAGGGGAATTATATATTTTCCAGGCACATACTTCAACCCTATACCACAATCAAGTAACTGTTACCTTCTGCAGTTATGAAAAAGCTGCACATATCAAAAAGCTTTGAAATTGGCCTCTGTCTCTTTAAGAACCTCCTACCATTTCTGGCACTTCCACTTCAGCACATCTATACAAGAATATTTGGGGGAGGGGTGATCTGTGGGGGCAGGATCTCAGCTGCAGACTGAGCTCCAGGGAGGAGCTTTGTACAAATAGGCGGTGCTTTGTAGCAGCAAATGTTCAGGCAGCTCCACATGGCTACGAGAGGAGGTTCAAGGATTTCACAAACATGCATGAATGAGTCAAAGCAACACTGGGTGTGCTTTTGATGAGGGAATGACATTATAACATGACATAAAGCTCAAAAAAGTTGATTTTGTTTGATACCACCTTTTAAAGTACAAATTATATTGAGATTAAAATATCCAGATTTGTTAACTACAACAATAGTGTTTGACTTGCTTCAACCTTTAAAGAAAACAGAAAAACAAACCATCTCACCACAAATTTGGTTGACAGCATTTCAGGATTCCACTGGATCACAGGAAAAGGGGAGCCCGAGGCGCTGCACACAGCTTTCACATTACCACCCTCCATTTCAGTCACACTCCTCGGGAAGACCTCTACCTTGGGAACCACTGTCAGGAATATTCACACAATAAAACCAAACATATGTTTGTTTCCTGGTTTCTCTTTTGTTTTTCAACCTGAGAAACAGTTTTGATTACAATTGCAATTCCATTAAAGTTGCTAAATTCAACAGTTTGTAGGTCTCATAAATCCATATTTTTTCCACAGTGCAACTCAGTGAGCACAAAGTTTAACCTAAAAAGATGTACCACTCGTTAAAAAATGTCATTTTGAATTTGAGGGCAGCAACACATCTTTACAGAAGTTGAGACAGAGGACATGTTCATGTGTGAAGAATCCCCTCTTCACAGGACTTTCCTAACACACTGTAAATGTGTAAGAAACGAGGAAATCGGCTGCTGAAGTTTTTAGAATGAAGTTAAAACTTCATCCCCACCCGATGGTACCTTTCCTAATGTGTAAGCTGCTCTTAGAGGCCCTAATACTCCCATACCAAGAGAGAGGTAGCTTTTCGAAATGTGAGCTGATAAATCCGTGTATGGTTCATTCTTTGTTTTTTCAAAATCAAATGGGAAAAAAGAATGATTGGTTGCTGTTTTTTTCTTCGTTTTTAAAGGGGGGTTATTCAATTGTTTTTGTTTAAAAACTTAATTAGAAAAAAGACAATAGCAAAAATAAAAAAGGCTACATATTTTTTTCAATTTATATTTTATTAGCGCACCATATTGAATGTTCTGATGGAAACACAAATGACTTCCTGCCTGGCTTCCTGGCGTGCTACACTTTTATTTAGCACGTTAGAAATAGCCAAAGTTTCAACATGGATATGTTTATCTTATTTAAATGAAGTCAACGCATCTAAGATCTTATAGTGAATAAAATTGCTTTAATATCCAGAGTTATTCAGAATAGGGCTCATGCATTGTCAATATCTTTAGAAATGGTTTCCATTTTCAGCCACTTTAAACTCTTCTTCTTCTGCAACTTTCATCACTTCCAGTATAAAATTAAGATGAGGGGGAGGGCACATAGTTCAACTCTATACCATAATCAAGTAACTATGTTACATTAAGTTCTGAAAAAGCGATATCAAAAATATATTTGATTTGCATCATACTCTATCCAAACGCCTTGAAACATGCTTCTGTCTCTCTAAGAACCTCCTACTGTTTTTGAAACATTCCCACTTCAAAATGTCTTCACAAAAATGCTTCTGTGATAGGAGTATGGCAGCAGACTGAGCTCCATGGGGAGGAGCTTTGTACAAATGGGCGGTGCTCTGTAACAGCAAATGTTTAGGCGGCGGCTACCACCTGAGATTCAAGGATTTCTCAGACATGCATGAATGAGTCAAAGCAAAACTCTGAGTATGTTTTGATGAGGGAATGAAATTATATCATGATATAAAGCTCAATAAAGGTTGATTTTAACAAATACCACCTGCCCCTCTTTAAAACATCAACTGTATGTTTTATTTTGGACTTAAATAGCTAAAGCAAATTTGTTGCTGCTATAAAATTCAAAGTCACCTGTTTTTTTTTTCACTGAAAAGCTTCAAATTTGTAGTTTAAACATTTGATTTGTTCATTATCTTCCAAAGTGACAAAAACATGGATTTATCAGATTTTAAAATCCTTGCATTTTTTAAATTAGCATTTTACACAATGTCTTGTTTGGAGCTGGGGTTGTAAGTGAACACATTACCACAGTCTGGTGGAGTTAACGTTGCAAAGTCCCTCGTCCCTCCACTCTCTTCGGTGCACGTCAGCTCTGGACTGTCCATCTCTTCTTGGAGTCTCAGTTTGATCCACAAGTTCTCACAAACACAGTCCAGGGGGTTCCCAGATAGAAGAAGCCTTGAAATGAACACACACAGCTCCATAAGAGAGGTGCAAATCAAAACGGAAATAAAACTAAAAAAAAATAAGGGCAACTTCCCTGACAGTTTTCTGTGTCACTTACGGAAATGAAATGTTAAAGTTCTGAAATGTTCTCCATGACAACATGGAAAGGTTGTTGTCTCTGAGGTCTCTGTAAGGGAGAACAGAAACTGTGAAAACCAAAAAAAAAAAAAAAACGTGGGACATAACGTACGACTTTAAGAAGGTGCTTACACATATTGAAGTCTCGTGTTGTTAAAAAAAGCATCCGATGAAATGGACGTAAGACGTGTCTTTGTGATTGTTCTAGAAAGCAAAACAGAATTACTTTCATTTGCTTTTATTTCACATAAAACAAGTAGTTTTTTTATTATTGTGGTACTCACAGGTTTCTGAGGTTTATGTAGTGCCTCAGACTGCTGTCACTGATGTCAAATAGTCTGTTTTGGTTAGCAATGTATCTGAGAGGAAATGTAAAGAAGAAACATGTCGGGATGGATTTGTTTTCTTCACAATTGAATTTGTGGTGTGCAGAGAATATAAAAAAATGTGTTTTATGTAGGAGATTTGAACTTTTTACGCTAATACATTTCTAATTGATGATTGATTGATTGATTGATTTGGGCAGCTGTGGCTATAATAGCTTACCACCATCAGTGTGTGAAGGGGTGAATGTCTGTAGTGTAAAGCATTTCAGGGTCCACATGGTGCTTTATAAAGCACTATATAAGTTCAGTCCATTTACCATAAGCCTTCTTATTGTTGTTTTCATACAAAGTATTTTTAATTAAATCTTGTGAAGCTGCAAGTTTGGAGTTTCTGCAGCATGTTAAAGATTTAAAATTTATAAAAGACACAAGAAAACCCAGCAACTTTTGATAGTAGCCCTCATTTAGTTTTTTTAATAAATAAATGGCACCACTTTATATACATTTATACGAATTAATAGCCAATGAGTCTTCTATATTAACAATAAATCACCTTGTTTATTATTTATAAAACACATTAAAAACTTTAGATAAGTTTTGTAAAAGTAACATGCATTTTAATGACTTTTTCAAATCATGGGCAAATACAAGGTTGAAATCAATTTAGATCAGCTACTAATCTATTTAAGGACAGCTACAAACTGCAGACATAACTGTATTTTATGAAGTGCGGTGGTTGGAAAGTTTACACGTTCTAGTATATTCACAACCTTTAATGTGACAAACTGTATATCTTGTACAACTTTAAATAGAAGAAATAATCAGTTGTGAAAAATATAAAAATGTACAAAAATTAAATGAGCTACAAGGGTGCATACACTAAACTAAATACTTTTTGAAGCACCTTTTGATTTTGTTGTTTTAGGAACTCATATTCAGTTAAAGTGACTCAAGTCAAGATGAACAACAGTTGAGCAGTTCAGAACTTTCCTGACATTAACTTGGTTGAATACAGCAACAGCAAAGGTTTGTGAATTATTGTTAAAAAGAGTCAACAAGAAAAAACTAATTAAAAAGGCATTTTTAACATTGGATAATCACAGTGAAGATAGTCATCAAGAAATGAAGAAATTATTGAACAAGATTACCAAAAACTGGACCTCCTTCCAAAAGTGATGAAAGGACATGACAGAAACTGATCAGCAAGCCTACAACGCTAAAGTAGTTACAGGAAGATAAGTTCTGGTTGTGTATGTGACACCAATCTCCTGTTGTTGTTTTTTTTTTTTTTTGGACAAACCTTTAGCTAATTATTTAAAATATACATCAAAATTCCCAAAAGCAGGAAAGTATTTTCTACTTTGATGGACCCAATGCAAAACTTTTTGGCCACAATTTAAAAAAAGATTTGGTTCAGAAACCAGCCTGATCACCAAAAGAACATTATCCCCACAAAGAAACACAGTGGTGGCAGCATCATGTGTTACTTGTCTTCAGCTGAAACTGGGCTTTTAGCAAAGGTAAAGGTTGTGGACACTTGTGCAACCAGCTTTGGGTCATTTTTTAAAAATAACTTACCTTTTACCCAGCTACAGATATTTATTTTTGTTATATTAATTTATGTCGCAGTAAATGTAGAAAAAATCTTTTTGAAATAATACATTTTTTTACATTAGAAATACATTATTTTAAAAAGGGCACAAGCACTTTTTGTAACCTAATACTTTTGTTTACATGCACTGTAAAAAAATGAAATGTTGGATTTACTTAACCATGTTATGTGACCTGGTTCCACTTAACTGACTTGAGTAAATTCAAAGCAATATACCAGTTTTTTAAACCAAAGAACATGAGTGTGTTGCTTTGAATTTACTCAACTCAGTTAAGTGGAACCAGGTCACATAACATGGTTAAGTAAATCCAACATTTCGTTTTTAGAGTGTGGATTAGGTCATCAAGGTATATGGTTCCCAAACATCAGGACCCCCACTCTGGGCCAAGAAACAACAACGTGGGGGGTCCTATAATGTTCTCCAAAATTCAAACTGCTTAAAAATCAATGCTAGATGTATGATTTTTGGCATAAATGTTATAAGTAATAACAATCAGGAATAAATAAATGAATGTAAATAGTTTAAATGTAGGTTTTTTGTTACACTGGTCTTGTTTCACAGCACAAATCTCTAATTTGCGTGTTAAAAACTTTTGAGAATAGGCTCGTGAGAAGTTCCTTTACTTTTTGTTCTGTTGTTTTCTGTCACGCTTTGAAGATAGTAGCTGTCAGTTTGGTGTCTGGTTGCCAACATGCACCAGTAACGTCCTGCTTGCAGTTTCCTGAGAGTGAGGAAAGCATCCGGCCTCACTTCAGTCACCTGATAAATAACGGTCATCATGGCTCCAGCTTGTCTGTCTCCCTCACTAATAATAATAATAATAATAATAATAATAAAAAATAAAGAAGAACTCAACCAGTCCTCCCTCCAACCCCCACCTCACCGGGTGCCGTGCAGTTTGAACGGACGCAGATAAGGTGTAACAAACTCCTGCAGCCAGCTGCGCGCAGCCGACATGATCTCATGTGGAGTCTGTCAACAGTGTGGCCATTTACAAAATAATAATAATAATAAAAATAAAATACTAAATAATTAAAAAAGGGCTATTTTACCTCCGTAAAAAAGAGACCCCCCCCCCACACACACACACATGTAAGCAGAAATACCAGAATAAAAGCACCAGGGAGGGGGCTGCATGCACGCGGACTGGGCCCCAAAATCCAATCCAGCACCATAGGTTCTTCTTACCCTCTGGAGCATTTATTATTTTATTTATTGCTTTTCATGTCGAGGCAGACACACTATAGATCCCAATAAGCGTGACGCGCAATCTCCGCGCGCACGCGCCACCACTATCTCCTTCGCACTATACGCACGCACGCGCGCATAAATACGAGCCTGTGTGTAATGATGTGACGAACACCCCCACTG